ATTTTCATAAAAATTGACGTTTGATGGGCAAGGGAAGATTTCGAATATTCAAATTGCAATTTTGTCCATATGTTGTAAGGATTTTCTTCATTTGAAAATTTAGCCCGATGATTATCGTCCATTGCTGATAACAAAATTCGCATCGCCCGATTCTTCTTTTTTTCATCTGCAACATTATCGGTGGAAACACATTCAAAGACTTCATTTTCTTTTAAAATACATTTAATTAAATTCTTCCAACCGAAATAATTTTTTCCATTCAGTTTGTCAGGCTTGAATTCATTTATGGAAGATAGTAATGACATATCTTGAATTGGATTTTGGATCGAAGAAGAATTCGATGATGAAGAATTCGATGATGAAGAATTCGATGATGAAGATGGTAAATTCTGAGACATAATTCACCTCAGTCTCATAATCTGACGTAAACATATAAATTTTATTTCAAAAATAAAAAGATCAAATCAGCATCACAAATACAAAACATTTATATATCCAGAAAAACATCTGTTTACAAGTTCAGTTTAAGGGTCACACTCAACATTACTCTTCATAGATGTCGTGTCACCCCCCCGTGACCCAAAAACTGTAGACTTAACAAATTGAAATGTTTTAGAATTAAACGGCTTGGTAAGAAAATCGGCTACCATCAGATCGGACTGTAAATAAAAGATTTTACAGAATTTTTTCTCAATATAGTCCTTTACAAAATGGGCTCTGGTATCTATATGTTTCGATTCACCCATGGGTCCATTTTCAGCAATACAGATAGCTGATTTATTATCCACGTATAAAGGAATAACCATAGGATTTACACCAAAATCATGTAAAATTCGTTGCAACCATAATCCTTCAGAAAGACCCATAGATAAAGCATAAAATTCACTTTCAGCTGTACTTATCGATACACATTTTTGTCTTGAACTAGACCAAAAAACGGATGATCCAAAAACTTTGATCAGTACTCCAGAAATTGATTTTCGTGAAGAATGATTGGCATGATCAGCATCAGTAAAAACTTCCAACGGATTATCAGAAAATTTTCCAAGGATAAGATCAATATCACTGGTGCCCACGAGGTAGGCCAGAACTTTTTTAGCACCATTCCAAATTTGATGTGTAGGCATTTGCATTTTTACCGATAAAGAATTAATACTAGCAGTTATATCAGGTCTAGTACGTGTCATATATTGTAGACTACCAATCAAACGTCTACATAAGGATCCATCTTCAAAAACAGGACTTTTATCATCAAGGATAAAAGTTTGTAATGGAACTTTCGGATATTTAGCCAAATTAGATATACCAAATTCTTCGGCTAGTTGTTTGAGAAAAGAACGTTGTGAAAGATGATAATTACCATGATACTTGTGAATCTCGAAACCACAAAATTTCGTAGGTTGACCGAGATCCCTGATAGATAAAGATGCTGATAACATGTCGTAAACAATTTTATAATCTTCATGAGATTTATAACCAATAAGAAAATCATCAACATACACCAACATAAACAAATCAAAATTTTTATGTCTATAAAGACAACTATCATTTTTGCTTTGAATAAAATCATTTTTCAATAGATTGCTCAAATGAAAAAACCAATTCCTAGCAGACTGTTTCAGCCCATAGACACTTTTTCGTAGTTTCCAAAATTTATTATCTTTAGCAAAACCAGGTGGAGGTTTGACGTAAATTAATTCATCTAACTCTGCATGTAAATACGCAGTTTTGACATCAATATGTGATAATGAATAATTACGACAAGCTGAAATAGTTAGAGCTGTACGAAGAGTTGTCATATTAACCACAGGAGAAAAAATTTCTTTATAATCAATATCTTCCTGTTGATGATCACCGCGAATGACAATTCGTGCCTTAAATTTTTCAATACGATTACTAGAATCTTTCTTAACAGTAAAGATCCATCGAGAATGTAATGGTTTTTTCAAGCAGTCTTGTTCAGGAACTTCGTCAAAAACCTGATTTTGGCAAAAAGAATTCATTTCGTTATTCATGGCATCTAACCATTGCTTGCTTTGTGGAGATTCAATAGCATCACGATAGCTTCTTGGAATTTCAATATTATCAATTTCGACCAAATTTGCATTGTCTGATATCCTATGACGAAACGGATATCTTCTATCATCATCGATAATTAAACTAGGATCAACACGATTCAAAATTCTAGAAGAAATCTGGCGATCATTGGAAGCCCCAGATTGACCACCAGGACTGTTTGTAGATTCATGATACAATGGTATATCAAAAACATCTGAAGAAGAATCTTGAAATGATTCAATACTGGAGAATGGAAAAAATAGATTCATTTTTTGCTTATAATTATGATCATTGAAAAAATAGTCACCATCCCAAATCTTAACATTTCTTTCAAAAAAAGTTGATTTTGTGACAGGATCAAAAATTCTAAAAGCTTTGCTATCAATAGAATAACCAACAAAAACACATTTTCTTGCGGTTTCACTGAATTTAGAACTTCTTCTAGTTAAAATGAAAGCTTTTGAACCAAAAACATGAAAATGATTAATATCAGGTAATTTCTTGAATAATTTTCGAAATGGAATATCACCAATTTTATCATGCGGAATACGATTAGCAATATGAACAGAAGTAGCAATAGCATGAGACCATAATCGAAACGGAGAATGACTTTCAATCATTAGAGATCTAGCAATAGTAGATATTTTTTGAATACTTCGTTCAGCAATACCATTCTGTTGTGGACAATAAGGTACTGACTTTTGATGTCTAATACCACTTTGTTTTAAAAAATTTTGAAACTTTATACTCAAAAATTCACGAGCATTATCAGAACGTATAGCTTTGATTTTGTATTCAAGTTGATTTTCCATAAATCTTTTATACTGTAAGAAAATATCAAAAATTTCAGATCTATACTTTAAAAAATAAACAATTGTATATCGTGAAAAATCATCGGTAAATAGCACAAAATATCTGAACCCATTAAAGCATTCATCGATTGGCCCACATATATCAAAATGTACTAAAGATAAAGGAAAATCAGATATTGAATTAGATTGTTTGTATGGCAAGGATTTGAATTTAGATAAAACGCATGTCTCACATTTAATCGGATATATTATAGGTATATTCAATTGTTCAGCAATTTTCTTAGTTTTTTCAATACCAGGATGACCAAATTTTTGATGTAACAATAAAGAATGTTCAGAAGCAGAAAATGCTTTAAAATCTTCACGTAATTCAATACATGGCATACCATTAATATTTATAGCTTCGAAAATCAAAATCTGGTCTCGAAATATGAACGATTTTTCATACGTAGAAATGATTTTAGTAACGATATTTTCTTTAAATAGAATAGATTGAGAAATCAGATTGTTTTTGAAAGATGGAACATAGAAAACGTTTTTCAGGTAAAGAACAAACCCATTTTTCAAACATAATTTTACAACACCAATACCGGATATCAAAGCTTTCGAATTATCAGCAAATTTAACAGAATCATTATATGAATTCAATTCCATGAACAAATTTTTATCGCCAAAATAATGATTATTTGCACCACTGTCAAGAATAATACGGAAAAATTTTTCATTATCAAAAACACCACAAACACCACAAAAATTAGAAGTTTTTGATTTATCACCATCTTCACGTAATTTTTTAAGCTTAAGACGGTAACACTCTTCGACCATATGTCCATTCTTCTTACAATATTTGCAGAATTTGTTATTATTATTATATTTTTTTACCGTCAAATTTGATTCAAGATCAACAGAAACTTGATGACGTTGTGACAATCGACTTTCAAAATGTAAAATTTCATTTTCAATTTCTTGAAATGATGGTTCAGTCGATTTATGAAGAATACTCAACGTTGTCACCATGGGATCGAATTCTTCAGGAAGATTAGCGAGCAGAAGTCGGTTTTCGATTGATGATGGCAATTGAAAGCCAGACGATTGTAGTTCATTACTTAATTTTTTAAAATCATCCACGTACTTAGAACATGATCCAATAGAAGGTTTGAGACGTACTATTTTCATAAAAATTGACGTTTGATGGGCAAGGGAAGATTTCGAATATTCAAATTGCAATTTTGTCCATATGTTGTAAGGATTTTCTTCATTTGAAAATTTAGCCCGATGATTATCGTCCATTGCTGATAACAAAATTCGCATCGCCCGATTCTTCTTTTTTTCATCTGCAACATTATCGGTGGAAACACATTCAAAGANTGAATGGTATTCTCAAAGTAACAGCCGAAGATAAAGGCACTGGTAACAAGGAAAAAATTACCATCACTAACGATCATAATCGTTTGACACCGGAAGATATTGAACGTATGATCAAAGAAGCGGAAAAATTCTCCGATGAAGATAAAAAAATTAAGGAACGTGTTGAAGCTAAAAATGAATTGGAATCTTATGCATATTCTTTAAAGAATCAGATGGGTGATAAAGAAAAATTGGGTGGTAAATTAAGCGATGATGATAAATCAACAATGGAAAAAGCTATTGACGAGGCAATCAAATGGTTAGATTCTAATAGTGAAGCTGATGTTGAAGAATTTAAAGCACAGAAAAAACAATTAGAAGATATTGTACAGCCAATTATTACTAAATTATATGCAAGTACAGGTGGTGGTGGTGCTGGTGGTGGTGAAGCTGGCGCTGGTACCGATGATGAATTCAATAAGGATGAACTTTAAATTATATAAATAATAATTCAAATAATATTTTCAATCCAAATATATGTAATAGTTTTATTTCAGGTTTCTTTATCTTTTTTTTTCAAATTTTTTTCTTCTTCTTTTCAACTTTCAAATGTATTCTTAATTCTATCTCTTTTTTTTCTTTCCCCTTCAAATAATACAATAATAATTTGTATATTTTCTATTTCTATTTAAATAAAATTGATGATAATTAAATACAAAATATAACCAAAGAAAAAAAATACAACTATAAATATGATGATGGGAAATGAATTTGTTTTGGATTTTGGGTTTTATTTCGTTTTTTTTTGGATCTATAAAAACATCATCAAACGAACATTCGAATTCGAATGTTTTTGTGTGTGTTTGTGCGATTCGAATAGAAAAATTATGAAAACAAAAAACAAAAACAACAATTTTCCTTTCGTTTGTTTTTGTTTTGTTCATGGATATCATCATCAACATGGCTACATTGTAACAATGTTTTTATATTTTGTTCATATACAGACCTTTGTACTATATCATGGACAAATATTATTGTTGTTGTTGCTGTTGATCATCAACGAGGAGGGGGGAATTGGCCATCATTATTATTTTTTCTACTTAGGAGATGAAGGTTAAAAAGTTATAATGTTTTTTCTTTCTATAAGTATGATTTGATCATTTGGCTAGCCATTCCTATAACCATCCTGGTTGATGATTGGTATTTGGTTTGAGTCAAATGGTTTGATATTATTCAATGATTTGTTTGTTATAATGTAATACAAACTGGTACAGGTACACTGGTAACCAAAAATGGTCAATCATTCAATAATTCTGGCAAATATTAGTCAGTTAGTCGAATTATGTGTGTTTTAGAGAATTTTGTTTACTTTTTCCGGCCATTTTTGGTTTCAAATCACCTAGGTAATATATGATGGTTTTTGATCAACATCATCAACATGATCATCGATGATGATTAATCATGGATAGAGACGATTTTAATGAATTTGATTTTTTGATTTTATTTTGGATTTTATCGAAAACAAGATGATTATGAATGCTGTTATTATTATTATTGAATTAAATTGGTTACCATTGGTAATAGTCGTTATCGTTCTTCAGTATTTTTTTTTTGTTCCTTGTTTCATTACTGATTGCTGATGATGATTAATCCGATCCTCCCCCCATGAAAATATTCAAAATGATATGGTAAAAAAACTGCAGGTAAAAACGATGAAAATGAATCGAATCAAAATGTTCATCAACATGATGAACAGGACTAGAATGGAGAAAAAAGATAACATTTGGTCCATGTTTGTTGTTGATGTTTTTTGTTTCGGTTCTATCCGAAAACATTTTTTTCGCTATTCGTCGTCGTCGTCGTAATCGTTGTTGATGTTTTTTACATTTTTTTCGATTCGTATCGGATTGGTAATCATAATATTTTTTTTTTTGTTTTTGTTTCTACTTTAGCTGCCATATTATAATAATCATTTGTTGCAATGTTTGTTGTCTGTGTTTGTATCGTCATCATCATCATTTAGGATCGGCATTTTTTTACTTGGTTAATTCGTCGATAAATTGCATCGATTCGAATGTTTTTTACATTACGGAAAGCGTGCCTTCGAATGTTTGATTGCGAATCTGTATATTCATCAATGTTTCGAACATACCGAACAAAAACAAACAAACATCATAATCAAATTGCTACAAACGATACTTGTTTTAGTTTTGTATAAAGATTTCAACAGAAAACAAAACAAAAATACAAAAATTAAAAAAACAAAATTTATACCTAATCTATGATTGTGTTTGTGCTTGAAAAGAGTTTTTATTATATCATTAAAATTTATCAACAAAATAAATCAAAATTCAAAAAAAAAAAATTTCTGGATCATTTTCGATAGAATCATGAATGAATTGGATTCAAAATATGTAAATCTTCTTGGTTTGAATGCATCCGGTAGGTGATTTAAAATTATTGTTGTAATTTTACTTTTTTATTTTTTTGGGTAAATAAATTTCTCCAACAAACAAAATCCGAAGAAAAAGCAACAGGTTGTTTATTCAAAATGATTTCAATAATGTTTGTTTGTTTGCTTGTTTTCTGCCTGACCTAATCATTTTGTTTGTTTGTTGACCGATTCGGGTTGGTTGGTTGGTGTTTAGGTAATTTTTCTAAATAAAAAAAAAGATTAAAAACAAAAACACAGAAATATTTTTTTTTTTGTTAGTATAATTATCTGGGCAAAAAAAAAATAAATATTTGTAATTAACAAACTAATCAGATTGTGTGTGTTTGTGTGTTTGTAAATTACCGTTACAAATTTATTATTATTTATTTATTTTTATATTTTGTTTTTGTTTACCCCCACTCCATTGATGATTGGAATTTTTTATCGTTTCGTTCACATTCGTTTATACATTCGAATTGAATCGAGAAAAAAAAATTATTTACTAAACAATCTTTAATTTACAAAAAAAAAAAATTATTTGTTTTTTTTCTCCATTTGTTTGATTTTTGACATTTGTTTCAATTCAACTCTCCAAAAAAAAAAAAAATTCTTTCATCATCATTAGAGCTATCTGTACAGATATCGAATCGAACATCAGTCATTTATCAACCATCGATAGTATCGGCTGTTGTTAGTGCAGGTGATAATATTTCTTCGAATGGTAATTCAATTTTATCTGCTAATCATAATCATCCAATATCATCGACCACAACAGATTCCAAAAAATTATCATCAAGAACAGCTATAGATATACAGCAACAACAACAACAACATAAAATTTCAACGGAAACAGTACAGAATCTGATTAATCATCATCATAATCAACATCATCAACATGAACAACAGCAACAACCGCATCAACAACAACAACAATCATCAAATACAAATATCGTACAGGATTCAATTAATAATGATGGTACTATTGATGAAAAAGCTAAACCACCATATTCATATGTTGCACTTATAACGATGGCTATAAAAAGTACACCGGAAAAACGTTTACCATTATCAAGTATTTATGAATTTATTTATACAAAATATCCATTTTATAAAAAAGAGGATAAAGGATGGCAAAATAGTATTAGACATAATTTAAGTTTGAATGATTGTTTTGTTAAAATTCCACGTGAAGTAACAAGTACATCGGAACGAAAAGGTAATTATTGGGCATTAAATCCTATATTTGAAAATATGTTTGAAGATGGAAATTTTAAACGACGAAAAAAGATTAAGAAAAATCGTAATAATTCATATGATTCAAAATTATATCCATTGACACATAATCGTCATTCGAATCATTCGTCATCATCAGCAGCAGCGGCAATTTCTCATCAATCAGCATTTGATCGTCGTGTTCATATTGGCCATTCGAATACGGCAATTACATTGGCTGCAGCACATGCAGGAATGGTTCCAACTAATTTAGCTACGATTCCGGCATCAACATTTACATTATCGAATGATCGTACAATGATTGGAAATGTACACGATTCCACAGTCAATACTGTTCGTCATCATTCTCATCATCATACTGGTTATTTTAACAATCCATATCATCAAACATCCTGTACGCCAACAAGTTCATCATCGATTTGTGATGCTACATATTGGTCATTACCTAGCCTACAATACAGGTTCGAAAATTTAGAAAAAAAACCAAATTAAATAATAATAATTTCTTTTGTTTTCAATAAATCAGCCCGAATCCATCATCAACGCCAACATTATCTACATATGGATCATCAAACAGTACATTTAATCCTTGTTCAACAACAATCAATTTAACAGCTACAACAGCAACATCAACAAGTGCTAATAATTCAGCATTGGTCGCATCTTATGTTGAACATCGTGCAGCAGCAGCAGCGGCGGCTGCTGCTGCTGCAGCTGCGGCAGCCGTTGCAAGAAATGGATCAGCATCCGAACTTGGTAGCGGAGCTGGTAATAGCACAACAAATGATGGTACAACATCCGGTGCGACAGTTACTACATCAACTGGTATTTTATCACCAATTCTTTTCGATAATGCTAATGCTATGCTACATTCACAACTTCGTTATAATCCATACTAAAAACATAATTGAACAAATATTTTTTATTTACATAAATTTAATCTTTTTTTTTCATAAATGAATAATGATGATCTTGCATAATAATAATAGTAAAAAAATGAAATAAAATTATTTCTCATGTTTTAATTATTATAATAATTATTTCACGATTCAGTTTACAATTCTTTCAATTTTCAATTGTCATCATCATCATCATCAACATCATCATCATCAATGTTCAGTAAATTCATTTGATTGCCAATGTTTACATCAATATCGCCATTCAATTTTGGTCCGTTCATATTCATTGAGCCATCATCATCTACGAAATCTCCAGATTGTAACATTTCTTCAATTAGATTACGTTCCTGAGCGGCAACAGTAGGATAAAGATGAGCTGGAATTGTTTGTTTTGTTTGATTGAAATATTTTTCCGCTTTTAATGCATTCTGAAAATTTGGAAATAGATTTGGATATTCAATCGGATCGGCCAAAGCTTGTACGGATCGATCATTTTTTACTTTGGGATTTTCTTTCCAAAGTTTCAGTACACGTGATACTTGTGATGGAACATAGGAACGGGCGAAAAATGCAGCTTCAGGTAATCGATTTGTTTCGATCAATATTTCCAATGCTTTTTCTAAATCACCCAATATAAATGAACAAAGAAAGGCAACATTATGAACACCATTTTCATATGACATTTGACTTAATTTTTTAACCATGTTCATATTGCCCGATGATGTTGCCAACAATAATAATGCCGAATAATCCTGTGCATTACTGAAACATTGTTGAGCTAATTCAAATTCACATAATAATGTAGCCACTTTGGCCAATTGTTTCCATTTCGTATCACTTTGTGCTTCGACGGCTAATTCATATGCAATTTTTGTATCTTTCAATTGTAATGCTAGATCGAATCGATGTTCAGGATCGGTAGATACGGCCAATGCCTGTGCTTTGTAGCCTTGTTTTTCAAGAAATTGTGCCACACGTGTACGTTGTTCTTTCGGTATCGATGGTAGAATTTTATCCGCAGCTTCAAAATCATCTCGCATGACTGCCGTTTGATATTCAAGAACCGGCAATAGCAAACAATATGAAACAACATTTAACTCTTTATCACCCAAATACAGACGATTTTCACGTGAAATATAGCCAAGTAAATAAATTGGTCTAGTAAAATAAAATTTTAAAAAACAAAATCCATTAAAATGATTAAAACATACCTATCCATATGAGCAATGGTAACTATTTCACCACCGACAAAATAATTCAATCGATTAACATTATTCGTATAGATAAAACAATCTCCAACCCATAATCCAGTTTTGACAACTTCTTGAATTTCACCGATAACATCGAATGCATCTTCAATACCATCTTCAGTAATTGTATCGGATTTATTTTCACGTGCTGTTACAACAGCTTCAGCATTATAACGCAAAATATAAAATGAATCTTCAGCACAAATAGCAACCAATTCACCATTCTCTGACCAATAAACATTTTTCGGTTGTATTTCAATACGTCGAATTAATTCCAATGAATCCCAATCATAAAATGATAAACCAAGAGCAGATTTTATGCCAAGCATAAATCCACCGAAAATTCCATCAGCACTATAATCCGGTTTGAATGATTGTCGTTCTTTAAAATTTTTGAATATTTTTATAGTGGAATTATTTTCACGAACAGCATATTCCGATGAATCTTGTGCCCAAACAAATTCCTGTGCTGAACCAAAACTTTTGTTCCGTAATGTCAATGCAGTATAGATAATGTATTCACCATCACCACATACAACAACAAATCGGCCATTTGAATTATGTGAAATTGTTTGTGGATATATTTCACAACTTCCCATATCTTTTACACTTAAAGGTAAAATATTACCATCTTTAATCTCTTCCGAATCGTTTAATGTTCGAATATTTGCTTGTTGTAATTCGGAATGTTTTGCCCAAACAATTTTACCCGAACTATCCATTGACATGGCAGGTTCTTCTCGACCAAGTTTAATTACTAAACTACCAATATCATAACCAATAGCCACAGTATTTGAACCTTTCAGACAGGAAATCGTCCATGCACGTTCTAGGCCATAATTTAATGTATTCTCCAATCGATAAGTATTCAAATGCCATACACGAACAGTACCATCTTCGGAACCACTCATAAAAATTGGCAGTTCTGGATGAAATGAAACGGCTACAACATTCTGAAGATGGCCATCAAGTGTTTGAACGCAAGTTTTTGTCTGATAATCCCAGATTTTTACCAAACGATCATCAGCACCCGAAATCAAATATGGTTTATCACTACTATGACAATAATCAACACAATTGACACCTTTTTCATGACCATCCAATGTAAAGTTGGCTGAATTCGATCCTAATTGCCATACTTTGACCGTTCGATCTAACGATGCACTAGCAAATGTGTTATTATCTTTTGGATTAATAACAATCTGCATCACATAATGTGTATGGCCTTCGAACACCTGTGTACAAGCCCAATTTTTCTCCCAATTCCATAATTTAATAAGCATATCATCACTTGATGTTAATATATATGGTTGTGTTGGATGTACGAATATCGAACGTATATAATCAGAATGAGCATCAAAAGTGTATACTTTTTCCAATGTATTATAATTAAACACTCGTACTTGCATATCATCGGCACCGGTAACTATCCAATTTTTAGTTGGTATAAATTTTGAAGCACGTACCGGTACATCACAAATTTCAAACGATTTCAATAGCTGAGATGTTTCATAATTCCAAATATGAACCTGGCCACTATATAGGCCACAAAGAAGCCATGGTTCAACTGGATGAAGATCAACACATTTTACACGATCCGAATGGGCTAATAATTTACGGCGAACATCTAATTTTAATGGCTAATGAATAAGAAATTTATCAATCAAATAATTAATTTTTTCAAAAAAACAAATGATAATTTTAAAACCTACCATCTTAAGAATGATGGAATGAACAACAAAAAAAAATAATTTAAATTATTCAAATGTAAATTCTGTAAAAAGAATTGAAAAAAAATGACAGAGTGTGATTGTGTGTGTGTGACGTGTTCAATGAATAGTGAGACACCAAAAAAAAAACATAAAACATGTACAAACTATATCGATCCTTGTGTACCTTGTAGGATAAAAATAGTATTCCTTTTAATTCGAAATGTATTTTTTTTTTGTTTTTTGAATCAATGAAAAAACTTGGTTCACAAAAAAACTTCCGATGACAAAAAACAATTTTAAAATCAAAATTTCAAAATATGAAAAAAGATTATCGATAAGAATCCATAGTAATTAATCGAATGAAAATTCATTAGAAATCCATTTATCGTACTTGGCGATTAAAATGTACAGGGGAAAAAAACAATGTTATATTACGTGATAAAATCTGAAATGTGAATGTGAAAGTTTTTCCTTTGAAAAAATTTTTCTACATCATTTATCAATGAATTATTGAATCGTATTTGAAAAAGATTCATATATATTTTCAACATGAACAAATCATTTCCTTTCAAATAATAATATTATTGGCTGTTCAAAGGTTTCATTTCTTATCACTTAATGATTAAGTCAATATTGGTTTTCAAAAAAAAACTTGACATTCATATAAAACAATGAAAAACATTAGGTGGGTACCAACAACAACAAGAAAAAAAAATAACACTTTTCAATTTTTCTTTCAATGAATACAGATGTTTCACAATAAATAAACAACGAGCGAGAAAAAGTTGAAAAATTTATTTCGACACATCGACAGCATCCACATACAAGGATTCTTTTCATTTCATCATATGGTCGAATGCACCGGAATACCCGGTATACCGTTGACCATGACCGGTAACAACAACAACAACAACAGCAAGAAAAAAGTTTCAAATTCAAAAAAATTTTTATTTTCAACAAATCAAAACCGAAAAAAACGTTTCGTTTTTTTTTATTATTATTATTCTCTTTTCACAAAATATAAAATGATTTTTTTTTTGGATAAAATAAATAAATTTGATTAATTTCCATAATGATGATGGCCAACGATAATAACGATTCTAAAGAAAGGATAAATGGATAATGATAAAGATGTTCAAAAAATGAATCAACAACAAAAAAGTTGAATCAAATTTTAAACAAAAAAGAAATGAAATGATGATGATCCACAATAACATAAAAAAGTACAGAATTTAAATGATTAAATTTTGTTGTTTTGTTTTGAATTTCTGTGTTTTTTCGCTCTCCAATTTCACTAAATGGTATGAATGTTTTTTTTTCGTTGAATCGTTATCTCGCTTCATTTTTTTTTTTGGCAATACTAAATTTCTATTATTTGTTTTGTTTAGTCGATGATGAATTTCAAATGTCGTATGTGTGTGTGTGAATGTATTATTTGTGTGATTATTATGTGAAGCATTAAAAACAGGAAATTGGATTGAAATAACATTGTTGATAACGTATCTGTCGTTTATGTTGACCGGATAATAATGCCTGATGGATCATCCAATTTGGTGGCAATTTTTTTCTTTCCAACATATTGAATAATCTATTCAATATAATATGATTGGCACCATCAATATCTAGTTCATTGTTCATTGAATCCTATATATTTGTATGTTTTTTTTTTGTTTTTGGAGAAATAAAACGTACAAAAAAAATTGATTAGCAAAAAAAGAAAGAAAATCTTCTTCCATTTGAAAAGAATTAGTTCAGGGATTTAGGGAATTTTTTTCAAATGAAAATTGAATTGAAATGAATAACAATTTGTTTTTATACCATATTGGATCGTATGGATGTTGCAAATGGTGATGTATTTGGTGATAATTTAGCCATCTGATCAATAATATCCGAATCGGATTGAAATTTTTCCGAACTACCAGTTGACATCATTGATGATTGACTACCACCACCACCATTATTAATGGCTGCCGTATGAATTGTTTGTAATGATGATATAATAATAATAGTAAATAATAACCAAATGATTGTCATTGTTGAAATCATTGAAATTGGTGATGATTTTAAATATCGTTGTTGTGTATACATTATCATTCTAAATGAAATGAAATCAATTTATAATTTTAAAAGAAGAAGAAGAAAAACAAAACAAAGCAAAAAAAGTGAAAATTTTGATTTCAATGTCGTCGTATGATCATTGAATGATTATTATCATTAATAACAAGTTTTACGTTTTCAATTTAGCTATTGACCTTATCATTGAATATAATCCCTCATTTTACTTTGAAAGAAGGCTATTTTTGAAACAAAAATTTCACTTTTTTTTCTGTTTCATAAATTCCATATTTATTCAATGGGAAAAAAACATAATGAAATTCCTAAATAAATAAAATTTCATCGTATCTAATCATGGTATTAGATTTGCGTTTTCTTTCTCTTTCTTTACACACACATTTTTATTAATTAAACATGTTTGCATCACGTTTTTTTCTGTTGTTGCTGTTGTTGTTGTTCTGCAAATATTTTATTAACGAAAATTTTTGACATTTCAAACAAGAATGAAGCAAACAAGACAAAAAAAATGGAATACCACCTGAAAAGTTGGCTTACCTGTCTGGCTTTTTTTTGTCGTTGATTTTCAAAAAATTTCAAATTTTTAATTTTTGGATGATAAATCGAATGTTTAGAGCAAAAAAAAAATCGAACACAGATAAAAATAATTTTATTTGTCGTAAAGTTTTTCGCAAGTTGTTGATTTCCTGTTCTGGAAACTATTCTCGATTCGTTCGATGTTTGTGATGAGTGTTTGTGTTCGATTCTAAATCGAAATGAAAATAAATTAAACAAATGAATTTTACATCCCGTTTATATACGAAGATTAATGAGAAAAAAAAATCTGCGATGAAAGAGAATTGAAAACAAAAAGTTGACCAATCATCGAAATACAATGGACAAAATCAAAGTGTATGTACAAGAAGGAAGAATGAAAGTGATATCGAATTGAGCATGACATGAAATTCTTTTCATTTTATTTCTATATGCGTATCAAAGTGAAAATGTGAATTAATTTCATTTTCGAAACATTCAGTTGAAAAGAAAATCTTTTCAACTATTCCCTATGTTCAATAGTAAAACACAAAATGATACATTTAGAGTTTGAAAGAATTTTCTGTGTTATCTGAATTTTTCCAACAACAACAACAACAACGTTATTTGTGAATAAAGAATTTTTGGCATGTGCGTAATGTGATATCCGTGTCCAATATATGTGATAATCCGGAATGATGAATATAAAAAACAAAATAACGACAATTGCCTATTTTTTCCTAAAATCATTTCACATGAAGAATTCATTTTCATTTTCCTTATATCCTACACATCCCCACACACACACATCGATGAGGTTCCAGATTCTAGAGAATATTCTCAATATTTACACTATAAATTATTATATTTAATTATCTTTGTTTTTTTGTTTTTGTTTTTTTTGTTTCTGAACAAATTAACAAAATACCACTTGGTCAAATTTTATTTGTATCTATTTATCTCTGTTTATAATAATAAAAACAAACATTAATCCACAAGAAAAGCTAAAAAAGAAAAAATCAAATTAGTTTCGGATTCTGTTCAAAATTGTTCGTAAGAATCTTGTATATCCGATTTCAAAAACATTAACATCATCAACAATGATGACATTAAAAAAAAATCCACTTGAATTTTTTGTTTGTCTGTCATCGTCATCAACAACAACTTGATGAAATTAAACCCAAAATAATAATGTTTTCTTCAAATTCATATAAGCAATTTGGGTTTCCAGTTAATTTTAATTTGCATTATTTATTCATTTAATTTTATTATCATTATCATTATTGATGATTGTTCCGGCAATATTAATGGTGGCTCGAGTGATGGTCGTTATATCGATATTATAATTTCGATATCGAATCAATCGATATAATATGACTAAATGGACTAGATGTAACAAGATACTGCTCCATACGGTACTTGGATATATATTCCATACTAATTCGATAAGGCCCAGCATGCAGATGCTAATTTTGAATGAAAAAAACGAAAACAAACAAAAAGAAAATATTGTTATAATAATATTTGAATGAACCTCCATGTTTATTTGAATCAAATTAATTAATTAACTAATTCTCTATCTCGAGGTTTTTAATCAAATTCAATTCTCTTCGGTACAATTATCAATCGCACTAGGTATTAATTGGATTTTTTTTTGTTTTTGTTTACTCTTCTGAATTACTACTTCTGTGCACTTTATTCACATGTTAGAATCTAACAGTTAGATAATTGAAAAAATAAGGAAAAACTTACTTAGTCATAAAATAATTAGCACCAATTGATGTTGTCCATAAAATAAATGGCAACGAATGATAATACCAAATATAAAATTGATAATGTAATGAACGTGCAAATACAATACCAATAAAATTTGAAATAAACATTGTCATCAGTATGTCTAATTTAGTTTGTTTTGGATTTTGTATGAAAATTAAATGAAAAAAACGAAATGAAAACGAATTAAATCAGTAAACATGATAATTGATAACATTGAAAAACAAAAGTTTTCATCAAACTCACGTTGTCCAATTTTTTGTTTCATTTGTTTATTTTTATCCGGATATTCATGCCAATCATCATTTGAATGCTCTACTTTTTCATTATTATTTTTGTTGAAAAAATTTTCAATCAAATTCATCCATCGTTTACGAAATATAATTATCAAAAATATTAAATGTAAAATAAGAAGAATTATATGAAATTGTTTTTGAATGAAAATAGATTCGGATAAAAAACGATAATTGACAGTCCATTTATGTAGAAATATCCGTCCTAAATTGAATGAACATTTTATATAGGAAATTGGATATGTCGTTATAAATGGAATGGCAATAATGATCTATGTTTGTTTGTAAAAAAAAATCGGGAATGAAATTTTAATTAAAATTTTTCAGTTTATTAGTTTATGAATATTATCATTTTAATCATTTCATTTCATTTTACCTGAACAAATGCACAGATTGCCAGATTTTTAATCAAATTCCATTTATTTAGATATTCATTATATAATAAAAATAAACCAGGAGCAAAAAGTAAAATGTTCATTTTGATCGATACGGCTAAACTATTATTTTGATTTTAAAACGGAAATTTACAAAAAAAAAAATTGTTATCATTGTTGATCAAGATAATTGAAAAAAATAAACCGGAATCATAAAAGAAAATTAAATGAAAAAATTAAATACATACGAATAAAATATCGATCCACGTATCCATTTTTGGCCAGTAAATGATAATAATGATAGATAAAGAAATAATATGGCAATCGTATCATTAAATAAACGTAAAACATAAATTGAATGTACACGATATGATGTAAGACACATAAATATTAATACAAATGGTGGTGCTTGTGAATAATGACGATATAATTGAAATACAATAAATAATGTTATCAGATATAATGATGCAAATATATATTGTGCACGATATATATTCTGTCCTTGATCGGTTAGCCAATATAATAATGTATATACATAAAGATGACCGGCCGGATAAACAATTGGACCAGTATCACCCGAAATCAATGAATAATCACGTGTACCATTTAGAAAACATTCAACTTGTTGCATATATGTTGACCAATCAATTTCTGTATCTAAAATGTCAGATTTTTTTTATTTCCAAAAATGAAATCTCAAATAAAATCTGTCAATTTCGAGATACTTACATCGAACTCTATTAATAATGATAACATTTAAAAATATTTCAAACAATAAAAGTATATTCGAAACAATTGGATAACATTCATGTTCATGAAAAATTTTAAATGTTAACACTTTTTTGGTTATAAAATCCTGTAAATAATTAATGAAATATTTTATATTATGGCCAAACGATTGACTATTATTGCCCGATTGATTATGTCGATTAATTGATTTATTTCGAATCGGACCCATTGTTTTTCTGAAAAAAAAATTTGATCAATTTTATTAGCCCGTTATACTGGCGCATGTAAACAATCCGATCAGCTGATTTTGTGTGTATGTGTGATACGAAAACTCCACGTTGGATACAAACAAACAAACAAACAAAACATCGATCGTGAATACACGAGGATATCATCATACAAATATCGATTGTTTGTATGTTTATATATTGTGCAAAACATAATCCACCAAAATACCGTTTTTTCTTCTGACAGCTCATACATTTTTTTCTCTCTCTCTCTCTCTCTCTTTATTTGATTTATAACATGTTGCCCCACCAATCAATCATATACAAATGTCATTAAGATAAAAAAAGAAAAGAATTTCTATTATTGATATTTATAGATAGAAATACACGTATGCCAATTTTCAATCGATTGATGGACCGAAAATTACAAACAACAAAATATGACCATTACAACAACGACGACGATACCCATTATCATTAATAATAATAATAATAAAACTGATAATTTATTCGGTTTTAATCGTCGATTAATACGTTATTTATTATTATGGTTTTTATTCAGTGGTACAACATTGTTTCTAAATAAATATATTGTTTCATATCAGAATGGTGATCCAATGTTTTTGGGTATGTGTTTTTGTTTTTGTTTTCAAATGGATAATTGATTTTCAAAATTCATTTTTTTCTGGTTGCAGGTGTCATTCAATTATTATGCTGTTCACTAGGCAGCTATACATATCTAAAATTTTGTCATTATTTTTCCATCATTAATGATCATGATGATAAATTAAAATTACGTTCATTTCATCTCCATTATCTAATAGCTAATCCATTTAAATTTGCTTTGATTGGAGCGTTTCGGTTGGTATTCTGTTTAAAAATGGCAATATTTTTTACTAAAAATTTTCCATTTCTTTTCCAAAAAAGACTATTAACTGTTGCATTAGGTCTTGTTGCTCTTTGGTATATACCAGTATCATTTGCCGAAATGATTAAATCATCAGCACCAATGTTTACAATGATAATTTCATTATTGATTATACGGGAAAAAATATCATTAAAAACTACCCTTTCTTTATTACCGATTATGATCGGTTTATCATTATGTTCAGCATATGAAATACATTTCAATCTAGTCGGATTTGCATTCGCATTACTTGGAAATTTATCCGAATGTACACAAAATGTATTAAGTAAACGAATATTAATTATGGATAAATATGGACCAAATCAAATACAATTATTTACTAGTGCTTATTCAATTGTATTACAAATACCATATTTTTATTATATTGTTTATTGTCGTTTTGAATGGCCAATAACTAATATTCAAGATAATCTAATTCTTTGTTTTAATTATTTTCTATGTGGTTTATCATTTCATCTACAAAGTCTAACTGAATATGCATTATTAAATATGATTAGTCCAATATCACATAGTGTAGCAAATACAGTAAAACGTGCATTATTAATATGGTTATCTGTATTAGTATTTGGTAATCCGGTTACATTAATGTCATGGTTTGGTACAGCATTAGTTATAATCGGTGTTATTATTTATAATAAAACAATACAACAACAACAACAATCATTATTATCAATTCAAAATAATGATGATAATATTCCATTCATAGCTAGTAAACAAATTGATTCCGTATGATTTGATTCGGCCACATCTAAGTCAAATTTTTTTTTGAATTCATTCATTTTTGACAACAAGTGTCCTTATAATTATCCCTTTTTTTCAATCAATTAAAAATATTGTAAAATAAAATATAAAATTGTATGTTGTAAAAATTATTTTATAAATTTTCTTCTTTTTTTTCCAAAAAAATTATATTTATAAAAAAAATATTTATCAATCAATAATCGATAATAATAATAATAGTAAAACAATCTGTTGAATATATTTTAAATATAAAAAAAATTATAATAATAAATTTTGAAATTATAAGGACATTATTTAATAATAATTTTTTTTAAAAAAAAGAAAGAATGAGAAATGTTGAATGAGATAAATGTTTGGTTTTGTTCAATAGCGACCAGAATATTTTTTACTTGTTCGATGTAGAAAAAAAAATTACAAAATTTTGATGTGCGTTTTTTTTATAATAATAATAATAATAATAAAATTTTTTTAAGGAACCACTTGTATTTTTCATTTTGAAAATTTTTAAATTTATAAAATTCCAAAATAATGATAATGATGATGATGATGATAGAAAATACAATGTTAATTTTGTTTTGCCTTTGAAATTGAAATTGCAACTGGGAAAATATTTATAGAATATTCTGTTGGTGTGTGTTTGTTAACACTGTGTTAACATTGTGGGACTGTGGAAAAGAACAATATGTTAATTTAATTTGTTATCTATAGTTTTTTATATAATGCACAAGTGTGTGTGTGTGTGTGAACAGAAAAAAAAAGCAAAAACAAGACAAAAATTATAAACAAATAAACAAAAAGAAAAGAAAAACAAACAAGAAAAAACGAATAGAATATATATTTCGTGTAGACAGAAACCAAAAAAAAATTACACTTGAAAATGATTACAAATGAACGGTAAAAAAGTAAAAAAACAAACACCGGATAATTATATTATTGAAAATATAAACATATCTTAAGATTTGATTGATTCATTTGTCCCCCTGTTTTTTGTATTCGGATATTCAATGTATGTATGAATGGTTAAATGTATTTACATATAGAGATTTTGATGATGATATTAATATGATAAGAATGATTGCAGAAAATTTCTTCGAAAAAAAATATATAATAAAATAAAAATTGAACCAAAGAAAAAAATTTAACAATAATATATTAACGCAAATTGTTTTGCAGAATAAATGTAAAAAAAGGCGACGTTCGAATGTCGACATCATCAATATTATTAGAAGAGCATCCCTTATCCCGATACAAAAAAAAGATTGGTTCAAATGAATAGATACTGTATTAACAGATAAGAAAAAAAAAGTTGATAGGATCATATCATGGGCAGCGATAATTGAAAATAATATTGATTTTTTTTCTGTTTAAAAAAAAGGCCATTGATGGTGATGTTTATGGTGGTCATAGTTCTTTTTAAGTATAAGATGATTTTGTAGATGTGAATTGGGTGGATTCGTATTCAAACAACAAACAATCAAAAAAATAGGATGGATTTACAAATTTAGTTAGTTAGTTATATCAAAGTATTCAGAATATTCTTGTTCGTTGTAATTTTTGTTGTTGTTGTTGTTATAAGTTGCACATAAGCTCTTCAATTTAGGAAACAATTTTTTAGGCAATCAATTTCTTTTTCTTTTTTTTGGTTATTTTCAATCGAATTAATCATTAAATATATCCAATGATGACATATTTTGATAATGTTTCAATTGACAATTTAATGCATGTCGTTTACACCAATCTTGTGTTGTGAATAATTTCCCGCAAAATATACAAGAAAATTTTGGCCGAAAATCACTAAAATGTGTATGATAATGACGTATTAATTTTGATTTTTTAATAAATTCTTTCGAACAAATTGGACATGTTGTTAGATTTTTTTGCTGTATTTCGGCCAATAATGTTTCATATTCAGCAAACGATACTATCGATTCTGTTTGAAATAAGAATTTAAAAAAAAAAAAAAAATATTTCAGATGTCCAAACAAACAACCAAACTTACCTTCAATTGAACGATTATTATTGCCATTACCATTGACAGTAACGTTATTGTTGTTATTGTTATTATGGTTTGAATTATTATTATTATTATTATTATTAGGAACTGCAAATTGATTGGCAAAATTGGTCATTGCTAATACATTTGATATATCATTGGTTGAATTATTTGATGAATATTCATCATCCATAAATTTGCTTTCTATAAATTCAAGAAAGAAACAATTAGATTCTCGTTTCAAGAAAAAATTAATCAACAATACCTTCAACATCATCGTCATCACCGCTTTGTGCATCACCGGTATTCTACATTTATGATTATTGAATTTGATTAATAAAAAAAACAAACAAATTTTTCATTCAAAATACATCATACCTCAGGTGTTGACATTGATTGTTCCAATAGTTTAGTTGGTTCAAATTCTTCCGATTCTTCACGTTCATCATCATTATTATTGTTATTATTATTGACAACATTGTTATTATTATTATTATTATTATGATTCGATGTCTTCGTTGTTGAATCACCATTTTTCAAATTAGGTGAATGATTTGTTGTATCTGACGTTGAAGTATTATTTAATGATGATGTTAGGAAAAAATTCTTATCAATATTCGATATTGATTTAGATGATGAACTACAATCATCTTTACTAACACCACCACCACCACCATTACCGGTAGTATCATCATCACTTGTATCGATTGTCATTCCATTTTCATTTGATGATGATGTTAAAGCTGTTGAGGTTAATGTAGTCGTCGTCGTCGATGCTGTTGTTGTTGTCGATGTCATTCCATTAAGTAATGGAATTATATTCTTAAACATTAAACTATTACCACCACCAACACTACCACCACCATTTAATTTGATATTATTATTAAGATTTTGATGTAGACTATTATTGATTGCACTTGTTAGATTATTATTATTATTATTATTATTTAATGTAATTAAAGGTTGTTGTTGTTGTGGATATTGTATATTTGTTGTACGTTGTTTTTTACGTTTTTTAGTCATCATTAAATTATTTAATGAATTTACTGAATAATTTAATGGATGATTTAATGATGATAATGTTGTTGTTGTTGATGATGAATTATTATTACCATTATTCAATAAATTTTTCATTGACATTATTGATGATGATGTTGAATGATGATTATTATGATTATTTCCAATTGATGTTTGATGTTTATTATTATTCGTATTATTAGTATTATCACCAAAATCCGCTAAACCTTTTATTTTTAATGTTTCAGCTGTTTTTAATAATGAATTTAATTGATCTTGTGGTATATTAACTTCACCACTATAAATAAAATCAATAATTGCTTTTAAATCATTAAATTTTACATCTTTCAATATAACGATTGGATGTTTACATGGATTTGTCATGAATAAATTTTGAAAATAAGGACTACAAGTGGCCAATATCATTTTATGTGCTTTGATTGATGCACCTTCACAGGCTAATGTTACATCGACAAGATTTTCATGTACTAACATATTTTGAAAACCATCGGTCATATTTGTATGAAAACTATTCCATTTAAGACAATATTGCTGTTGTTGTTGATGACTTATATGATGATTTATTGCAGCCATTTTAAGGTTGTTATATTTTTTTTTGATTTTCTTAATAATTCCAGTAAAAGAAAAAATATTGATTGCCTCCAAAAATTGAAAATATTTTGCCGAAAGAAGGGGATAGAAAAAAAACCGGACACGTTACAAAAATAATATTTCGTATGTTTTGATAAAATGATTGATCAAAAATGATTCATTTCTGCAAAAAAAGATAGAAAAAAAATGAAATTCATTAGAGAATATATCAACAGAAAAAAAAGAAGTTTTCAATCAAACAAGTGGTCATCACACACATCAGTTATACACACCCAAAGACTTAAGAATGAATTTTTCAAACAAAAAATTCATTTTTTCAACCAGAAACCAGAACCCAAAAAAACAAATCTTACCCAAAAGAAAATATTAAACTTTACAACAGGGACAACAACAACAACAACTAGAAAATCCAAATCAACAATCCATACATCACCACAAACATAATATATATAGAGAGAAAGAGAGAGACAAAGTATATAGATAGCATACTCAGAGTATGTACAAATTATTTTACCAAAAATACATTTTATAGTGTTAAAGCACAAATCAATGAGTGTCTTTTGTCATATAATGTTTTTTTTGCCATTGCCAAAATATTCTTGATGCTAAATTGAGAAGAACAAACACATTGAAGGATGTGTTTGTGTCTGTGGGTGCGTGTCTCTGTAGCTAGAACAGCAAAAAAATCTAGGACCAAAAAAACATCAAACACACAGATTGAGAAAGCAAGAAAACTCAATAGAATCAACAATTCAAACAGTGCAACAGTGCAAAAAAAAAAAATTATCATTTGAAATAAAAAAAGAAATGAATCCAGGCGTATGAAATTAACCATTGATTAGTACAAATACACACACACACACATTGGACAAAGAAAAAATAAATCTTCTATAGACAGGGTGGGTATATATGGTGAGAAAATTCATTTGCCAACCCTTTGGCCCTTGATTTCCAAAAAAATTCTTTTTTTTTTTGTTCTTTTTTTACAGGTATGAAAAAAAAGTTCCGTTTCTAATTATTACTCGTTTGTACATTATTATCAAATGGGGAAACCTCGAGTAATTTTTCATCCGAAAAGAATGGGTATTTTTTTTCTTCTTGAATTAAGAAAATGATACAGACACAGACTATACAGATAGATAGAAGATAGAACCAACGCCAACAAGGGGCAAAAAGAAAAAAAGGTTGGCTTTGCAACAAGCAAGTTACAATCATGAATGAATGAATGAATACTGCTTGGATATATGTGTGGGGGAAAGTTGGGGAGGAAAGTGGAGGGAGTGAGTCCTGTTTTTTTTTCGATTCACAATGATGATGGCAGTTGGTGATGTTGATGTTCAGGAACAAGTTTTTTTTTTCATTTTATTTTCTTTTCCTTCGACAATAATGATGACGACACTGAATCAATGTTAACTTTGGTTTGGCTACTTGTATTATATTTTCGCGGAACCCTTTTTTTTCTCTAGCGATGACACATCATAGCAACTATCCAATCTAACTAACCAACCCAGCCTTTTTTTTCTTTTCTTAAAGATGGTCTTTACTTTTACTTTTATAGGTAGTCATAAGGCGAATATAGGGAATTATTATCATAGAAAAAGTAGAATGGTGAAGCAAGAAACGTTTTATTTCACGTTTTCACGTATACAAAGCTAATTCGTTTTTTCGCTGAATTTCTTGTGTGTGTGAAGGTTAACCAAACATTTCAATGGAAGAAAAAAATAAAATCCATGTTCATCGGGCACGCTTATATCTTTTTCTCACTATTCAACACTTTCCTCTCTCTCTCTCTCTCTGACTCTCTCACACATACTTGCTTTACATCGTTATTTATCTTCCTATTTGGTACATTCATTCATTCAATCAAATGTGTTTGGAGCGTTTCAAAAGCATCCAAAAAAATTCTATGGCGCCTAATTATTAATTTCAACGAAGAAAAAAAACGCACATGATAAAAAAACATAGGTAGTTAGTGATTTTTTCATTTTTGATTTTTGACATTGAAAAATTTCCATATTTACATGCAACAATATTACAAGTCTTTTTTCTCTTTCTTTTTTCCACACACACTCTATATCCACATACATATTTTTATCATTGAAAAATTTAGGAAAAATGATAGTGTGATGGTGGTGGTTGGGGGGGAGAAAGGGATGTATTCATTCATTCAGTCAACACAGTAATACACCTGTTAACATGGCACATGTGTATGTATGTTTTGAAATACATTTTCCAACTGAATACACACACACACCGTGTTTGGATCGTTTTTCTCCTGCGCCTTTTTTTTGTTGCAAACCTCTGTGTATATGTGTGTATCTAAGCGCCTAGCGAAACAAAAAATTTATTTTATTTTCAAATAAAATGTGGTGGTGGTGGGGAGTATATGATTGAAAAAAAAAGTTTAAATCTTGGGAACCTTGTATTTTTGCCAGGCATAGAAATATTTCATTTCAATACAGAAAAAAAAACATTACAAAATTTTCTGGGTTGACATTTTTGAATTGAAAATTGACAATCAAAATTGACAAGTTTTTTTTCTGTCCTGAATATATCAAGCGCACTGGAAATAATGACAATTATTTTAATGGAAAACACATACAATGAAAACATTTTCAACTTTTTTCTGTCATTTTTTTGTTGTTGGATCGAGCAAGTTTGGTCCAGCAAACATTGTTCTAGAAACAAAAAAATATGCCTGTACAGGTAATGATCATATGTAGTGAAAATAGCCAAATAGATTGAGTTTGTTATTGTTAAGAATTGGCACTTGGATACAGATTTTGTTCATTCAAGTGTGTTTCTGGTTCTCTTTTTCTGTGTTTTTCACATAAAATTTTCTTTTTTTCAAATCTAGATTTGTGAATGAAAGAACGAAGGAAAATCGGTACTTACATTGCAAATTTTTTCTTTCAAAGATTCTGTTGATTGAAAAAAATATTGAAGAATTTGATGATGACTAATAATTTTCACATTTGATTTTGAATCAAACATTCGAAACAAATAATGACGAAATACACACACACATGAATGAAGAAAACAAACACCAAAAACACACACACACACACAAGGTTTGTTGTTGTTGTTGATGAAATGTTGATAGTTTTTTTTGATTTGATCCAAGAAGGCCAGAATTTGTTTGTTTTTCAGAGAAAATTCTGTTATGGAGAAAAGAAAATGATGAAATTTTTTCAATAACAAAAAAAAAATAAAGTCCAGAAAGTAAGCAGAAAGAAACATACAGAAAATTTCGAATTGAAACAAAAAAAAAATCGAAATTGGAGCCCAACTCACATCAAGACCTAACATAATGTGTTGTTGTGCTGCATGTGACGACGATTCCTCTTATTATGAATCACCAACAAAAACCAGAGAAAATTTGTGAATCGACAATATAAACCATCATCACATCACAAGGAAAAAATCAAAAAAGAAAACCGAGCTATTTGGGTAAAAATAAAATGAAAACATGAAGAAAAAAAAAATTGCGCGCAAGATCGAACCAAGCGCAGGTTTTTTTTTCATTTCATTTCATTTCGTTTCAGTTTTTTTTTTGAACATTTACTGCCTGCTACTTTTGGCTACTGCTGTGTTGTTGTTGTTGTTGTAACAACATTCTTTCGCCTTCTAGGCTCTCTCCCTCTCTCTCTCTCTCTCTCTCTCTCTCTCACTTTGTATATCCTTCGGATCCTCTTTCCCTTCCAGAAAAAAAACTCATATACAAAATACGATCATCATCATCATCATTCTACATAGACATACATTTATACACAAACTTTTTCTGTATTAGAAAAGAAGATACCACATGATGAGAGGGAGCGGAGAGAGAGAGAGACATAGAGAGTCCTAGGCTACCACCACAACAACAACAACATTTAATTTTAGACAAGTGAATAACACACACACACACACAAAACAAACTAAAAACAAACAGAAACAAGGGAGACAAGCCGTGCCGTAGTATATCGAGCCTTATTGTGCCAAGTAAATGTCGAGCCAAGCACGGAGCCAAAACCGAGGTATTAAGGCGTTGGCTATTGGTTGTATGAATAATAGAAGGGAAACTAGAAATTTTTTTAAAAAAAAGAGTCGTTGGTTGTCGATAAAAAAAAACAATACTCCAAGTCACTTGATGGTGATGATCAAAGTCGCCCAACAAAACATCAAAAAAAACCACAAATAACAACAACAACAATCATTCACACAAAACGCCAAATCAAACCAGACAGACTAAATTAGAACCACATTGGAGGAAAAAACTTGAAAACTTGTAAGGGCTTTGCTTTGGATTTTCACTGAATGATTGATTGATTAATCATCGTAGCAGATGATGATGATGATCAAAAATTTAGAGGGGAAAAAACAAAAATTGAAAAGAATCGATGATTGATTAATCATCATCATCAATGATGCTTTTCGTGAATCAAAAAACAAGGACAAAAACAAAAAACACCCACCAAAAAATCTTTGAAAATTCAAATTCCATATGTTTATATATGTCACAGACACACACAAGTTACAGAATAATAATGTCATCACAAAAAGAGAAAAGAAAAAAATTCTAGGTCCCAAAACTATAGAATAAATGAAGAAAACAAATGAAACAAAAAATGTGGATCGCTTGTCAAGCCAGATGGTGAAATGAATTTTCAAGAAAATAATTCGAATGAAAAAAAAAACATTCGAATGGCGCTATTTTTTTTCTTCGTTCTTAGTTGTTGTTGTTATTGCAAATTTGGGAAACTTGCAAAAACATAATGTGTGTGTGCGTTCAAGTGACGCGATTTGTATATCTTTTCTATGCTGAAAAAAAAATTGCAGCGTTTGGTCTCAGCAAAATTAAAAAAAACTCTCTTTTTTCCTTCCAACGAATATTATTATTTTAGTTAAGTTAGTTTCCCAAAATGATTGTGGTATGTGTGTGTGTATATCTCCTATATGCGTTTTTGTTTGTTTGTTTTGTTTTTTATTGGTGCCCTTATACCATCCATATCCATATTCATACATATACACGTAGTACGCGCCATGGTGCGATTGCTATACTTTTTTCTTTTTATCCAAAAGAAAAAAGCTAGTGTCATTTTATTTTTTTTTCATTTTGGTCGTGGCCATAATTGAATGGCCAAAGTATTGATGATAATAATATGTTGGTCGCGCGCGCGATCCTTGGTCGTCATCATCATCATCTATCCATCGTCGACATCCAATATTTAAAAAAAAACATTCATCGAGATTCACGTTATTTTCAGCAATGTTTTTCTTGCTTGCTTGCTTGGTTTTTTTTTGGTTTTTTTCATTTCATTTCATTTCAAATGTTGATGATGATGCTATTTGGTTGTAGTGGTGTGTTTGGTTTGGTTTTTGTTGTTGCGAATGTTGTTGTATAATACAATCTCTGTTTGTGTGTGTGTGTATGGTGGTTATTAGGCCGTAGGGAGGCGAAGCAAGTAATTTCTTCCTAGATGTTCTTTTTTTTTGTCAGTCAGTCAGTCAGTCATTTGAGAGAGAAAAAGAGGAATCAGAATAGTGAATGGTTTTAGAATGAAAAGAAAAGGGGCAGAATAATAATCATCATATACATGTGATGTATATACACAAATAAATTAAGCCAGTCAGGCACACACACACACACGCCATATATGTGTATCACACAAATGCTACATTAAAAATGGATACCACATACACATCTTTCTAATAACGTAACGTGCAAGGACAACCAGAAAAACTCCCTGTATATACACCAGGAAAATGACGTGTAGCCAGGATTTGAATTTGAGTTTTGTTATTTTGGCGTCATTTTGGTATTTTTCTGGTTTTTTGGTAAATTCTTGTTGTCATTTTGAAATGATGATGAATGGATATGTCCCCAATTTATATTTAACACCCGCATAGTAAAAGACACACTGGTTGATCGCTTTTTTTGGTCAAAAATAGAACTTGAATTCAATTAATTTTCTCTCTCTCTCTGGAATGGTTAAAACAAAAGCAAAAAACCAGAAGAAAAAAAAGTTTGTCGACCATCTGGATGTTTGACTGTTTTGTTTTTCCATTTGGCCAAATATTAGGTTTGGTAAACATGATGATGAACAAACCCTAGCTTGCTATATATATGAATTTGGCCAACACCCTTCAGGAAAACTCCATGATATTCATTTATTTCTGGACATACCATTATCATTCCTGTATCAGGATGGTGTTTTGTTTCTCTTATTGCACACACACACATAGGTCATGACCATACTATTAATACACAGATATGATGATATGAATGAAAATAGTACAGTAGAATATTCGAATTTCTTTGGTTCCTTTCAGTCAAAATCATCAAACTAAATTTGATGCGGCCTAATAGTAAAATGATGCTTATAGTAAAATGATGCTACTATTACTAGAAGAACAAAAAACAAGGAACGACTAAGGACGAAAACATTGAGATGTTTAATATATGGGGACCATTTTTTTTTTTGTTGTTGAACGGACTAGCCCAAAAAACAAGAAATGGCAGCCACATTCATCATGTTCTGCAATGTTCTGTGTTCTGGGTTTCTGTATAAGGTCGTCCGATTTCGACCGGTCTTTCGTTGGTCGAATCGATTCAATCAACCGACCAAACTACATTTTCGGGACCACACTATGGCTATATCATAGATGTTGTTTTTCTATGTTTTCGTTTAGCATCCCAATCTTTTTTTACATCTTTGCCCCACTCCATTCAATTTTATTATTATTGACATCTGTCCACCTTCTTTTTTCCCCCTCCTATCATCATATCTAGGCACTTGTGTGTGATAAAATGTTTGCAAAGTGTATTGGGAAAAAAACGACAACATCATCTAAATCACCGACGAAAAGTTCCCAAATCATATTCATTCACACAACATACGCACGCATTCAACAATCCTGTTGACCTCAAATGAACTCTGACTTTTGTTGACTGATATAGATATAGAGTAGGATTTTTTTTAGGATCTTTCCTTTTTCTGCAAAATTGTATTGCTATTTGGAAAAAATCTGTTTTTTTTCCTTGCAAAAAAACGGAAGGAAACAGAAATTCCAGAAAAAAATTCTGTTACAACATTTATGAATGACATTCGAATCAATTCGAATGTTTTCTTTTTTTACTCACTTTCTGTTTTTTCTTCCATCACTATCACCAAAAAAAACAACCGAAAAACAAATGCCAAGGAATTTGAAATAAATGATGTTTTTTGTCGATTAACAAACTGAATCAAATCGACAGAGGAAAATATATGGACTCCTGGACACCTGTCGATGTGAATATGAATTTATGAAAAACACCTGTCGTTGTTGAATATCCTTATTATTTTTTATGACTATGCGTGCAATTGGAGCCCAATTCTTTGTTCATTATATTGTAAATGTGAAAAAAACAATGAAGAATTTTTCCCATTCATCACTAAAGACTATATTCGAGCAAGAATATTCTAATTTGCTGCAATCATCAAATTATTCAAGGTACCTAGCTCATATCTTTCTATTTTTTTTTCATTAAATGTTGTCAAGTTGCCAGCCAGCCAGCCAAAAAAACGACAAAAATCAAAAACAAAACAAAAATTATTCGTTATTCAAAACCAGCAAGAGATTTGGAAAACATTTTTCCATTCATTTCATCATCATCATCATTGTGAGGCATGAATGATCCCCAATTGTCTTTCTCTGTTTGTCTGTGTTTGTGTGTGTGTGTGAATATACCGTGGTGATGGCCAAACAAACTATCGACCCGTAGAGCAAAGACCAAAGATAATAAAGATTGAAGAATGAAATGGATGTTTTTCGAGTACGTCGACCCAAGCACACACACATTTACCATTCCTAATATATATAGTAAGTAGAGAGAGAGAGAGAGAGAGACTAAATAAATACCCGACATTATCAATGTGTAACCGTGAATTAAAGCCAAAAATATAAACGAAGAAGAAGAAAGACAACGATGATGATGACAAAATGCCAGAGTTTTTTTTTCTTCCATTGAAAATCGAATTCGAACCCGAATGACCGAAAACAGAAATAACCAACAAACAGCAGCAGCAGCAGGCAGCCAACCAACCAACCAGCCAAAGAGCCATTATTATCAACAACAGCAGCCAACATTCCTAGCATCATCAACATCATCGAAGAAGAAAAAAAAAAGAGTAACCTCGGACCTGACATATGATGATGAACCTGAAATTTTAAACGGACTATAACACAAAAGAAGCAAGGAAAAAAACCGGAACGATACACACACACAACAAACTCGCTAGGTATATAATGATCAATTTTTTTTTGGGGAACGACTATCATCATCATCATCATCATCAACAAACTTTTAAACTATCCTAACCAACCAACCGATACGAAATGGAAAAAATAAGAACCTGTTCTTTCTTTTATCTAGAAGAAAAAGTTGAAGAAAAATTTACTGATACCAGATGATCCCCGAGAATTCACTTCTTTTTTTCACTTCTTTTTTTTCTCCTCTTTGATCTTTGTATGGTTATGCAAGGTTAGAATGAGAAGAAAAAAGAAAAAAGAAAAAAGACTCGCCCGAACTTATGATGATGATGATTATGGCCATAAGCACATAAACGAAGGTTTGTCGACGTCATAGGGTATAAAAAATGTGATTGAACTGATGGAAATTACGAGAAAAAAGCAAAAATTTAATGGTAATAAATAAAATGAACAACAACAGCAAAAAAAAAATCAAAAGAAATAAAAAAGGTCCATAGAGAATCATTCAATTCAATTCAAATGAAATGATTGATTCGCGCATGTTCATCTTTAAAATTTTATGGTCCGATCCAAATACTTTTACACATTGCGGATATAGACTGATCCAAATGGAATTTTCTCTATATTCAGGCAAATGAAAAATATAGATAATTTGGTCCTTGGTTCCACCCAAAAAGTACAACAAACAAAAAAAAACTTGGAACCAAAGAATGAAATCATCCAAGGGTGCGGTTTTTGTTGTTGTTGTTGCCCAGGATATTTATTCATTTTTTCTCCTGTTAGAATCCTAGACCTGGTTGGAAATGGAAATTTCACCAAGTTTGACATTTTTCTGTTTTGTTTTGGTCATTTCCATTTTTTTTTAATATTTTCTACTACTTTGTCATCCATTTCGGATGACATACTTTTTTTATTATTGAAATAAAGATGCTTTGATCCAGGAAACGTATCATTTAAAAAAACAGAAATTAAACCAGACCAAAAAGAAAAAAATCAACTAATCAAATAAAGTGAATGAAACAATCCAATAGGATTATTGATATATAGAATTGAAGACAAAAAAAACACCCTGTTGTTGTAATGAAAACTATGAATGAAATATATCTGAAATTAGATCTTTCCTTGATGGATGCATCAAATGTTGACAAATTTTTTCCACTGTGTTCATTTGAAATATAGATGTTTATTGCAAATTCATTGTCTATTCATTTCATTTTGATTATTTTGTTTTTTGTTTTTTTGGTTGCTGAAAAAAAAATGTTTTGCATTGTCAAAATATTGGACACCATAGGAGATATTTCTCTTTTTCTCGTAGTTAGTATGACTTGTTTTTTTCTCTCTCTCTTTTACTATAACTATTCAGGATTTTTTCATTCATTCAATTTAAGGCCATATGAATGTCATGTTGTGATGGCAAAAAAAAATAGATGGATGGATGGAAACATATTTGACATTGAGAGGATCATTTTTTGTTTAGTTTGTTTTTCCTATTTGCTTTTAGTTTTGTTTCTCAATTGTTGGTTGGGTCGATTGTTTTGAAAAATTAAATGGAAAAAGCAAAAAAAAGTGATTGTTAGTGACAATGTGGTGGTAGTCATGGTGGTCATAATGATGATGATAATCAAAAAAGGAATGAGGAAAAAAAAGATGAAGATTTTTTCTCTATGTACAATGATGATGATGATGGTAATTTGGGATCCTCTTCAGGAATCCTCTTTAGGAAACAAACTTTTATTTTATTATCATCATGATGATCATGGACCAAATTGGAATGTTTGTTGAGGTTGTTGAAATGCTCGAACTTTAATGATGGCTTTTTTACAATGATAATGAAGCAACAAGTTTTTTGGAACATTTTTTTTTCGCAACCAACATCAATTTTAATGATGATGATGATGCTGGGTAATAATATTTTTCGGTTGCCTCTGTTGTTGTCTTGATCCAGCTGGTCTAGATTATTTCATTTTCGTTTCGTTTCAATATAAATTTTTGGTCATTATTTCTTTTTCTTTTTCTTTCTTGCTTGTTTTAATTGGTTCTGACCTCTTTAAATTATTACCATTTCTTTTTCTTTGACATTTCAATTACATATAGGTTAGATTTGTATTATATAATAATAGAATAGTATGTATTACTATATAGGATTCAGTTAAAAATGGTAATAAAATTGTTCCAACAAATAACCACCAAAATAATTGACATTGCCAACCATCCAATATGAATGATGTTAATGAAATTGTACCGAATGTATGCAAACAAAATGCTGTAAAATAATCAAAATTAAAAAAAAAATAAAATCATTTGAAAATTAGTTTTTCATAATAAAAAAAAAGTTTTTCTTGAAGGCCAAACAAGGGCTCTAGTTGATTGTATTTTGATTAGGTGTTTCGTGGGAAAAAATCAGGAAAAATAAAGAAAGAAAAAATCTTTTGGAAAAAATGGGAAAAGTCTACAACAACATCGTCATTGTGATAATCATTATCATCATCATCATGATGATTATGGTAGAAAAAACACACAGATAAAATACTTACAAAATAATGTTTGTTTAGGATGTATCATTGTAATACCCGTAATGAATGACAATAATTCGAGTATTAAAAATACGATCGAAAGGGACAGTCCAACTACCAATCTTTCTCAATCACATTATTCATTATCAACCATAATCATTATCATTAAGTTTTTTTTTTTTTTGGTGATGGCCATCGCATATGATAAGACAAGAGAGGGAAAATTGCGTTCCAAACAAAACATCCAACAGCAAATGGTTGTTTTTTACATTCCAGATTCAGATAATGACATGATAATGATGATGACGACCATGTAGTTTTATCATTATATCGTTATTATCGATCAATCAATCAATCGATCGATGGACGGAGAGAAGTGGGGGCAAAATGGAAATAAATAAATAAATAAAATTAGTAACGTTTGAAATTAATAATTCATTCAATCAATTTAAATCGCGATCGAATGGAAAAAAAAACTAAATCGAAAATGATGATTTTGGAGAATGAAAAAAAAATTAAAGAGGAACAGAGGAAGAGACAAAAAAAGAAAACTAAAAAAACATTCGAAAGGAAACATTCGAAAAAGGAAAAAGAATTATCAAAATTCATAGATAACGTACTCATAATCTTTTGACCAATATTCATTATCAGTATGATTCCATGATAAACATATCCTTACGTTATAATCCTTTTTTTTATTTGGTGGCCAAATTAAGAAACGATATCAACATGGTTTGATAAGAATCATGTTTTTTTTCAAATAAAAAATTTTTGTTGATAAAGATGATGATAAAATGGTGCGAATCATCATCATCAACACAACCAAACCCCAAACATCGAATATAATTATTATTGAAATGAAAACAAACAAACAAGAAATGAAATGAAGAAGCAGAAGAAAAACATTAATATTAATTAGATTGACATTGAAAATTAACGAATTGATGATCAATGATCATTGATCATGATCATCACCGTCGTCACAATCCAATTCAATTCAATTCGAATGTGGTCTTTACTTTCGTTTATTTTTATCATCAACAACTGGCAAAAAATAAATATAAAAAGATAATAATTATACTTACACGATTTGAAATGAATAAAATGACAAGGACTAAATGTGCCACAAGCGATATAAAACGTAAGGATATTATCCATTTATTCATTTTTTTTAAAGAAAAAAAAAACATCAATTTTTTTGCTGAAGAGTTTTCAATGATAAAATGATCAACAACGAAAAAAACTTGGAAGGTAATTCTTATTCGGAAGAGAGGGGGGAAGTGGAAGGATAAGAAAACATGAAAACAAAATAATCAAATTAGGAATCGATTATTAAGGATTGTTGTTTGATTGGAAAGTTTTTTCGCTCTCTTTCTGTTGTTCAATGTCTTTGGCTCCAAACATGAATCATTGTTTGTTTGTTTGGCCATCACACATTGTGTGTGTTACCATGGTAATTTTGCGTGAAAAAAACTGACAGACAGACAGACAGAAAAAGATCCAATTGGAACAGTATCAAATAAACGTTATAAACAAGGGAAAAAATTTTTTTCTTCAAATAAATTTTTTATTGTTATTTTCATGTAGTATACATTTTAAAATTATTATTTAAAAAAATTATCATTTTTTATTACGAATCAAATTTGACAATAATGAATGTCCACTTAAATAGGCAATAAAGCTTAAACCGGCCAAATATTTGATTGTTTGAAACATGTTCAATTTAAGAAAGAAACAAACATATAGTAAAAATATGGCTGCAATACTACCATGAAATAATAATGCCGATAATGAAAATTTAAAATTTGATAAATTTACACCAATTTTGAACCACTATTGAAAAAAAGAAAATTGGAAAAATTATAAAAAGGATTTACATTTAAAATAGGAAATTAAAATACTTACAGCAACAAATAAACCAAGCAATGGTAACATTGCTAATATGGTAAAAAAATTCGATACCAATGCTGGTGGACGTTTATCTTGTTCACGAAATATATGTTTAATTTCAGGTTTTGGTAAATATTCATTACGATGAATAGCAGTTGGTGTCATCGAATTTGATTGTAATGAACCAAATTGTAGATTAATTGTACCGATTTTCCAGCTTATTGCTTCAATAATCAATGGATCACCAATGTATAAATCCAATTGATATCTACCAGAAAGATCATTAAAATCTTTTGATTTTGCCGGCAAATTGAGATCAATTTTATGGAATCCATTTGAATCTAATTCTGAAACAAATGTTATTTCTTGTTTAGTATCCAAATGATAGAAACGAACAAAAGCTTGATGTACACGAACTGATTGATCATTTTGTGAATCTTTAATCTGAAATTTCATCTGAATACGTTGTAAATAATCAACATCGATCAATTGATCCAACGATGATGGATATATAAGGCTTTAAATAAGGAAATTTAATTTAAATTTTTTGTGTTCTTTAAAATAAAATAAAAAACAATTCTTACCCAAAAGTTTTCGTACCAACATCAGCATCGGTAATGGTCAATTCTGCACTATCAATTTTAACCTTTGTCAAAATAGTCAAACCGATTGGAATTCCATTATTGCCAAGTATTCTTGCATCAGGCTTTTGTGGTGAAACATTTACGGTCATTGTATAGAAACCCGATGATAATGATGATTTTGTGGCAAAAAAATCATATGCAAATAATGTACTATCACCTACGACCGGTTTGAATGAAATATTTTTCATTATTGCATTGTTTTTATCTTTGTTCATTGATAATGATGTTCCAGTAACTGTTACCGGACCAACCGATTCACCAAGAACATTTGTAACTTTTATTGTTAAAATTGGATTTTCGGTTGCCGATAATGCTGATGATCCAAATTTGGTAATCATATATGGAATGTGATATTTATTGTTTGTAAATAATGCCAATGTTTCGATTACTTCCGATACACCTTTCGGTGTGAGAACATATTTACGTGAAAGAAAATAGTTAACAAATTTTGTTGCCTGAGCAGCAGTTATTCCAACAGGTTTATTAGCAGCGGTAGCCAATTGATAGATGCCACGAATGACAGCAGATGAAACACCTAATCCGCCTTCAAATTGAAGATATTTTGCATTCACTTCATCCGCTTGAACAATAACATCGGCTATTTTTTCTACGAATGGATTTTGATCCTGTGGTTTTGAAAATTTCGATGCCAATTGAAATGCCAATCCAGTGTTCAATAATGAATCTTCACGTTTTAATGCTTCAATCAATAATCGAGAAAATTTTGCCGAATCTAATGGTTTGCCCATATTGGCCAATGATAAACCAGCACGATAAATATCCATAACAATTAAATCATCATTAATTAATGATTGTAATTTGATGGATAATTTTGTTTGATCCAATTGACAACCGGTAATTAGTTTAGCAATCGATGTTTGAAAATAAATCGATTCAATTGTTTCACCAGAATCTTTTTTTATATGATCACAGATTTTCTGCGATTCTGTTATGGATTTATCAAGATGAATCCTAAGATTAACATTATAGTAAATGTTGGCCAATGTATTTTCCGACAACGGTGTTTTTAATTCGACAATTTTTCGTAGCCGTAATTTATCATTATCGGTCAGGCTTAATGGTTCATCAATAGCTTGGATCGATGTAAATAAATGACCCGACAATATTAAGACGAATATAAAATGTTGGAATGAAATCATGATGATTTGGTTAGAAAAATTGAAATTCAATCAAATAGAATCGTCAGGTAAATGTGATCGATTCGGAACATTCACCAGAGAAAAAAAAGAATAAAAAATAAAATTCCCGAATAATTTCCACTCAAAGACACGTGTGCTTTGGCCAATATTTTCGGGAAATTTATCAATTCGAAATGAAACAACAACGACATCTTTTGGTTGGAAAAATGAATTTTTTTTTTAATTTTTTGAATTTTTTTTCAAACCAAAAAATTTAAAAAAAAGGAAAAAAAATCCAGGAAAATCAGAGGAGAAAAAACTAATCCTTTTTTCTCGGTGATTAACAAAGAAGAGAAAATAAATTTCAATCAAATCGATAATGATCCTTAATTGATTAATTAACCCCGGAATTTATAAAACAAAATTATGGATTAATTTAATTTCAATCACTTTCTTCATTCTCTCCTCTCATCTCCACACTCTCTTTCCTAGCTTAATTCCTCACTCTTTTTATGATACACAACACAGACATCAACGAATGTTTGATGCTCTTATAATAAGCAATATAATTATGTGATGATAAGTCTAAAGTTTTTTTACTGTTTAGCTAAAAATAAACTAAATCGAGCAACAACGCACAAATAATAAAATAATAAATAACACGCCCGTAATCAAAACATTTTTCTGTTTGTTTGTATCATCATCATCATCATCATCTGTTGATTGTAATATAGACCCGGGTTAAACAACAACGCAACAAGTCCTAGCTCAAATGTTAAGAAAAATGTTAATATTATTATCTTGATCCAAAAAGGTTATTTTGTTGATAATTTTTTTTTATATTTAACACTTTTTGTTCTGTTTCCCAAAAAGTTTCTGAAAATAATCAATTTTTTTGTGTTTCATTCCTTTTAAAGTAGTCGAAATAAAAAACAAACAAATCAAAAAATCATATCGAATGTTAATCAAATATGATATGATTATTATGTTTTTTGTTTTCTGGGTTTTAGTTTGAAAAAAATCAATCAATCAATCGATCGATCGGAACATTCTGAACGATTTTGATTTATTTTCGAAACAATTTTCAAAGTTTTTTTGTTCACCCAATTGTGGTAAGTTGTCCGATCGATTCATTGATTGATTCAAAATTAATTTTCGATAATGCAGATATATTTTTTTCTTGGAAATTTCAACAATAACGAAAATGGAACGAGAACCAGCCGATGGATGTGATTTTGAGCCAAATATTTCCAATGATATACGTACAGATGGTGATGGTATTGAAATGACCGATATAAATGAATTACCAATTCTAAATCATCATCATCATCGTAATGGCCTTGACCGTAATAATAATCATGAAATTGATCAATCATCAACGACGACTAATGTTGAAATCAATAATAATTGCCGAAAAACACCATCAAATTCAGATGATATAGATGAAGATGATATATCATATTTACGTTGTTCAAGTTTACAAACAGAAGAATTACAACGTCGTCGACAAAGACAACAACAAAATCGACAATCATCAACCGGTTATCCAGGATTAGCATTCGGTTCACCAATGTATTCAAATACTTTATTTAAATTTAGCATTATTGCTAATGAAATCAAAGATTTAAAACAAAATCAATTGAAAAAGGTTTGTATTTGATCCAAAAAATATGAATGAATGAATGGTGATGATAGGGTTAATTATCCAAAAAAATTCAAAAAAATATGAAATGAATTTACAATCCTAACTAATTTGCGCTGCAATTATCTTATCTACATAAATTGTGTGTGTGTGTTATGTCCAGAAAAAAAACGACACAATCATCATCATTATCATCGTTATCATCATCAAGCTGTTTTCTTTTTGTTTGAATATTCATTATGATTATGATGATGATGACAATGGCAAAATTCCGATCTTTTTTGGTCATCTTGTCCAGTCTCTCTGTGATGATGATGATGATGTTGATGATAATCATCACGACAATAAATAATTTTTCTTGTCAAATAGTCATGAGGATAGTTTTGGTGAAAAAAAGTCATTTTTTTTTTCATTTTTTTTTGTTTGAAACAATCAAAAGTCAACACCTGTTGCTTATATTTTTAGTTAGTTTTTTCTCAAACACTAGATGTCGCTAGATCATCTGAATCCTTTACAATTTTTCATTGAAAAATTTTGGATTCTATTCTGCAATCATGATTTTTTTTTTTTTTATCTGAATGAATGCATCACACTCATTACACACATATCATAATGCTGCTAGATTTTTAATGTTGTATTTTTTTATTATTAACACATTTAAATGATGATGATGATTCAGGATTCAACCTTCAAAATCTTCATTTATATCGTCGATAATAGAAACCAACCCCGGAGGACACCGCCTTTATATATATTGTGTATATAGGACATTCATGTTTGTGTTTGTGAATTGTATGGATTCTCATTTCACATCTGGCTTCAGCAAATGTTTTTTGTATGTCTGGTTTTTTTTTGCTATCCATAAGGTTAGGTTTTGATGATTGTTTTATTATTTGGTAGGATCCAATGCGGCTCGTATTGTTGTTGTTGTTGTTGTTCGTATAGCTTCGAGGACATACCATAACCAATATGTACTCAATATAGCCGACTTGCTATATTTTTATTATTGTTGTTGTTGTTGTTTTGGCGTGGCTTCTTCTCTTCTTGGAAGTTATAAAAAAAATTCTCCAAAAGTATTGGATTCATCATCAATACCACCACTACCATTATCATCAAAAAAAAAAAAAAAAACACACCACCACTATTATCATTGAAAGAAAACATAAAAAATATAGGATGCAACACAACTACCTGTTCTGATTTCTCTTGTTGTTGTTATTATTTTTGAACGACATTTGTCTCCATTCGACGACGACGACGACGATAATAATGATGATAATCATTGATGGTTAATGGTGGTGGTTGTTTTTTTTATATATACAGAGATGGTGATTAAATGGTTTTATATGATCATTCAACTGCTACTAAATCTCAAATGAATAATTTTGGTTGAAATTAGTTTGTTGTTGTTTTTTAAGTGTTGTTCCCGGTCTCCATAGGTACCTTTAATGTGTAAGAGTGTATGTTTTGAACAACAACAACAACAACAACATAAAATTTGATTTCGGGTTTGGTCAATGTTTTCACAATCATCATCATCGTTGTTGTTGTTGTCATGTTCCAAACAACAACAATAGCATAATTGTGTTTGTGTGTGTGTATTTGCATATAAAGTAATCTAGAATTTTGTTTCGATTTCTGTTTTTTTTCTGGTTGGAAAAAAAAATTGTGATGATAATTTTCTTGAATTTTTGAATATTATTTGTGTTAGTGTAAATGTAACATTCCGTGATTCATTCCTTAATTTTGGTTGAAAATCAATTTATCGCTGCCATTTAGTTTGTTTTTGTGGGGACCAAAATAAAATTTTGTTTTTTTCACCTGAAAAAATCATCATCATTGCCATTGTTGTTGTTGTTATTTTTCGCCAATCAATTCAGCGAATTCTTTTGTAAATTTTTCTATTTGTAAATTCAAAATCAACAAATCAAAAAAAAAATGGCCAATCAAGGTTCATTGTTAGATGTATTGAAGAAAAAAATGCGATCCATGAAAGAGGATCTTGAAGCAAGTCATGAAGCGGCACAAGAAAATCATCAAAAATATTTAGTTGAAAAACGTCGTCGTGAAGAAGTAAGTTTTTCGAACAAATTTTTTTTTCCGAGATTTCTTCCTCAAAATGATTCGAAATCGAACGAAACTATCGATTTGATCGATTATCAATTTTTCTTTTCTTATCACCCATTCTCTTATCGTATCCATAAAATATCCATATTTTTTTGTTTTGTTTATATAATGGTGACATTCTAATCCAAAAAAAAAAAAAAAAAAGAAATTATAAAAAATTATAATAATCCACTTTGGGGGCGGTTTTTTCAAAAAAGCAAAAAAGCTCGCATTATTTTTCATGAATTTGTCAATTTGAACAACAACAACATTGTTGGATTTCATCGTGTNATCACCCATTCTCTTATCGTATCCATAAAATATCCATATTTTTTTTTTTTTTTTATATAATGGGGACATTCTAAACCAAAAAAAAAAAAAAAAAAAAAGAAATTATAAAAAATTATAATAATCCACTTTGGGTGCGGTTTTTTCAAAAAAGCAAAAAAGCTCGCATTATTTTTCATGAATTTGTCAATTTGAACAACAACAACATTGTTGGATTTCATCGTGTTTTTTCGTTTTGTCATCATTCATTCATTTTGGGTCGAATATTAGGAAACAAAAAAATTTTGAATTTGTTTTTGTTTTTCATTTTTCATTGGAATGATATGCAATAATAATAATAATTTCTAAACAAATCTAAATGAGGAACAGAAATTATCGATATTTCATCCAAATTTTTTTTCCCATTATTATTATTATTACCATTTATATATGGGTGATGAGATCCTGTTTACATGGAAAAAAAAGAAATTATTAACAAAACAAAATGTATATTTTTAAATCAGAGACAGTAGCAGAAAGAACAACAACAGGCAATAATTATATGCATGCATGTTTTTTTCGACTGAATCAATTTATTCAATTTCTACACAATTAAATCACACACATAAATATCATTTTTGTTTTTATACTTTTTTTGTAATCCAATAAATAATAATAATAGGCCGAATCGGAAGTATCAACATTAAATCGTCGTATACAAATGATTGAAGATAATTTGGAAAAAACTGAAGAACGTTTACGTATAACATTAATGAAATTAGAAGAAGCACAACAAGCAGCAGATGAAAGTGAACGTATTAGGAAAACATTGGAAACAAAAACCAATATGGAAGATGATCGTATATCATTTTTAGAAGCACAATTAACACAGGCTAGACAAATTGCAGAAGAATCGGATAAAAAATATGAAGAGGTAAGAGGGAATTTGATTGTTGTTAAATACAACAAAAACTTAAATATTAACACTCACGTACATACACACACAATGGTAAAACAGAAATTTATTTTGATAAAAAATCCATAATGCTCCATCGTAAAAGTCCCATCCGGGAAAAAATCCGGAAAATCCATTTTTATTTAAATTGTTGTAAAATTTCCTTGTTTTTTTATCATTTCTATTTCCTTTTGTTTTTTTTCTCTCTTTACCCTATTCATTTACAGTATATGAAAGCGATGACTTTGTCATAGAAATTCGTTTGGTTGTTTTTGAACAACAAAATCATTGGCCAAAATCATTTATTTCTTTTGAATTTTCATTTTTTCATTAAAAAAACAATGTTTTTTTTGCTGTTCATTAATTATTAAATTTTAAAAAAGAAAAAAAATTAATAAAAATAAAATGATATTTTTCTCTCATCAAATAATTGATTGATCGTTTGATTGATTGATTGATATTGGTTCATTGATCAATCGATTGATACAAAAAAATAAAAATAATGAAATAATGTCAGTGGTGTGTCAATCAGTCTATTAGTCAATAATGGCCCAAATCCGGGTTCATTATTGATTTGATTTTTTTTGTTGCTGTATTTATTTGATTCACACAATTAGATATCAAACGATTGCGATTGTCATTTGCTCTATTCATTCATTCATGAATGAATGGGAAATCTATTTATATTTTCTATTTTTTTTCTGTTATTTATTGATGGAAGCTATTAATTTAATGGATTTATCATTTAAATTTGTGTGTACACGGGTGTTTTATTGTTAAATAATGATTAATATTTGAATGTTTTTTCTTCAAAAGATGGCCCGAAGAATTGCCATGCTTGAAGCCGATCTTGAACGTGCCGAAGAACGTGCTTCAAAAAATGAAAGGTTTGTTGTTTTTTTTTTTTGAAGGGAAACAGATGCCTAATTAATCTTGTTTTATGTTTTTGTTTTGTTATTGTAAATAGCAAAGCTGCCGAATTAGAAAGTGAATTGAGGATTGTTGGTAATAATCTTAAATCATTGGAAGCAAATGAAGAAAAATCTCAAATACGTGAACAAGCATATGAAAATCGTAACAAAATTCTTACGGCCAAACTTAAAGAAGTTAGTGACAAAAACATTTCATTTTTTGATAGAATCTTTACTAAAAATTTTATTATCATTCATATGATTTATAGGCTGAAGCACGTGCCGAATTGACTGAACGTACTGTTCAAAAATTACAGGCCGAAGTTGATCGTCTTGAAGAAGAATTATCGGGTGAACGTGAAAAATCTCATCTACTTCAAGAAGAAGTTGAAACAACATTGAAAGATATTCAGGCGATTTAAATTTTATTACCTTTATATTGTTTTTTTTTTCGCAAAATTATGGGATCAATCAACACAATTGGTATGATCGTAGAGCAAAAAAATTAATTCATTCCGGAACAAATATACAAAACCAACACACAAAAAAAATGAAGAAACTTTCACATTCTCTTTGATTACAAATTTTCAAAATGACCAAGAAAATTTTCTCATAATAATTCCCCTTTAATTTTTTCTTTTTCCGACAAATCAAATTATCGATACTATCGAGAATTCAAAACGATTCCATCAAACATTCAAAACAACAACAACATTCGAAATTTATCAACAGATATTTATTTATATGATTATTTCCGGTTATTTTAATTGTTTTTTTCCAGGTTTTAACAAATGAAAAAGATACATTTTTTTCGATCGATGGATATGATAAAATTATTAATGAATTATGATTAATCAATTAATATATTCAGTTTTAATGATAATTAAAAAAAAAATTTTACATAAAAAATTTTTAAATTAAATTATCTACCACGGAAACTGCCACGTCCTCTTGAACCTCCTCTTCCACCACTACTACCACGACCTCGTGATGAATGTCCACCTCTTCCACCACGTCCCCTTCCTCGTCCACCGCCACCACCACGGCTACCTCCTCCTCGTCCATTATAATGATGAGGATATCCGCCACGATCACCTTCATTACCATTTTGTGCCTGATTAAAACTTCGTGAATAATTTTGTATAGCTTCGACAACATTATGTAATTCGGGTGAACACCATAAACAGCCAAGAAAATCTGTCATACCATTTTCTCGACGTGCTTTTTCCGATTGATATTTGATCATCAAATAATTTGATTGACATGATTGACATCGTTGACGATCAATATTTACTTTGGATGCACCTTTAAACAATGTCATTGAAAATTGACAATGATTACAAAGAAATTTCCAATTTGGTCCGGATCCTTGATCCAATATTAATTGTCCATTGTAATTACATGCATGACATGGACCGAGTGTATTTCGATGCATAGAATAACTACATTCATTATTTGTGCAACGATTACAACCAACATTTTTGCCCATATCTTCAAACGGTGGATCATTGTAGCAATTCGGACAGAATATAAAATTTTTCTGTCCAGTAAAATAAAGTAAATCAAAATCATCGATTGGACATTGTACTTCTTTGTAGGTTTTAATGCTTCCATTTCCAGGTAGATTATATGCTTCATTACAAATAGCACATACCAATCGTTCTGGTTTGGTTTCAATCAATTTCATATATCGTTTACATTTTCCGCATCTACATAATAAAGAAAATGATTTATTTTTCATAAAATGTAAACACATAAATCATGAACATACTTTGAAAATGGTTTGCCTGTTTCGACTAAAGATGTAAAATTTTTGGAAAAAAGTTCATCCATAAGATGAATATTTTCAATGTAACGTAGAAATTTTCCACGATAATAATCAATATTTTTCTGTAATACGATTTCAAAATCAGCCAAACCTTTAGCAATTTGATTCAATTCTTTTTCCATATCTGAACGAATGTTCGATGAGACCAAATCATTATCGATTCGACGATAACCATGCACTAAAAGAATGCCTAATTTTGTCGGTGTCAATTGTCTTCCACCGGAAATTTTCACATAATTTCTTTGGCAAATATTATTAATGTGCGTCGGTATCGATGCATCCGTACCGATTCCATGTTTTTCCATCAATGAAATTAATTCGGATTCAGTTAGATAACTTGGTGCCTGTGTCATATGATTGTTGATTTTTATCTCCGATACTAAAACTTCATCATTTTCCTTCAGCATCGATGGTATTGATCGTTCATTTAATGACGAACCTTTTGGTAAAAATTTTGTATAACCCGGATGTTTTAATTCGGAAGATGAAGTTCTAAATGATTGAGATCCAATTTCAGCGATGACCGTTACAACATCATGTACCATATCGGTGGACAATGAAGCCATAAAATGTCGTGCAATGTATTCATAGATACGCCAACAATCACCACCAAGTTCCATTGGTGTTGCTGCTTTCATTGGCGTAATCGGTGGATGATCACCGGCATCATGTCCAGAACGTGGTGGTGAAAATCCTTGACTTAATAAATCTCTAACATCAGATCCCCAAACATTATTCGATTTTTGTGATTCTAATACGTCGACAAAATCAAAATTTTTCGGATACAATGTTGTTTCCGTACGAGGATAACTAATATAACCTTGTGTATAAAGTCGTTCGGCCAGTTGCATGGCTGTATGAGGACCAATACCAAGTTTAGCACTAGCCACCTTTAATAATTCAACAGTATTTAATGCCTTTGGTTTGCCAGTTGTTTTCGTTGTTCTTTTGATCGAAACAATTTTTCCACGTTTAATATCTTTGAGAGAATTGTGAATTGATTTGATTTTTCCGTTATTGAATTCTGGTTCGCCCATCCATTCCATCGTTATGTATTCACCAGAGAAATTAACAGGTGCAACAACAGCTGACATCGTCCAATATGGTTGCGGTTTGAATGATTCAATTTCATCATGACGTTGTACACAAAATGCTAACGTTGGAACCTGACAAGGACCATATGATACAAGTGAACTATCAAGATCGCCATATTTTCCCTTTTTAGAATGAAATTATCATCGATTCATGTTTTACAAAAAAAATTAAACATACTTGAAAATATCGAGTTTGATAACGTGTAAACGAACAGCCAACAATTAGATCAAGTTCTTGTCGCGCAGTTACGGAAAGAGCTTCCAGTTTATTTGGAAGGCGAAGATTATTAAATGCATCTCGAATATCCTTCTGTGTAATGGCACTAAAATATGCTCGAAAGACAGTCTACAATATAATGAAGAATTAACCTATTGTGATGACCATGATTCATCGAGATGAATTTACCTGAGGATTACGAAATGAAATGTTCATCATACCTGAAATGGTATCAATAACTTCGAAACAAATGTTTTCACCTTCTTTGTCACAATCAAGCCATAGAACAAGATATTTACAACCACGAGCCTAACAATATAAATAAAATCATTATTTAGCCCAATCTTAATTTGTAACTCACTTCTTTCTGTAGAAAATTGACCAATTTCATTTTGGGATTAGCTTCGACGCGTACAATTTTAGCTGAATACAAATCGACCGGATCACTTGTATCCCAATTCTTAAAACGTCTTTCAAAATCAGCGGTATAAACATGTCCACAAACCGATGTAAATTTGAACGAAACATTTTGTCCTAAAAATGTGCCGCGATATTCATGAACCGGACAAGCGGCATTTTTTCTTGTGGTCATATTTCCATACGATAATATCTGTGCTAATGATTGAGCCAATGAAGGCTTTTCGGCAATCATCAAAACAGACATGATAGTTTTTAATTAAAATATAAAATATTCTTCAAATATTATAAGATAGAATAAAAAAAATTCATGCAATTTTCATAAATGAAACAAAGAACCAAAGAATCCTATTAATATCCATATGATCCTTGTAGGTGTAAATCGTTTTATCCAAACAGTCATGTGTTCTGTTGCGAAAATATTTTTTCAAAAACTTTATTGACAATGAATTCTACAAGATTTTTGAGGTTTGAATTTTCATTTTTTCCTAATAATTAATCAAATTTGTTTTTCTTAATTAAAAGGTTGGCTTCATCGTCGATGAGATTTCATCATTTTATGTATGCAACTGGGAAATCATCGACGGGGATTGTTGCTGCTGCAAATGAAAGTTTATCAAAACAAATTATTCGATTACCCGAAAAACATCGGGAAAATTTTGCCGGTGATAATGAAAGCAAAAACAAATTACCAATGTTAGACTTTCATCAATCTATTCATCCTTTGTATTGTGCTGCATTTTCATTACATTTGATGATCAATTCAAATGCGACCATTTCGATTGAAAATTTTCAAAATCCATCCCTTACTTGGAATCCTAAATTTAATGATAAAATTATAATTCAATCACCATTTCCTAAACAAAATGAACACATCATATGTCCAACAACAACGAATAATGCATCAATCGAAAAACGAGCCGATTACTATAAACATAAAGATCCAAATCGTTTTACTCATCTAACCTGGGTACGACATCGTAAAATGAAAAAACATCAACGTATAAAATGGCGTAAAAAGAATCTAGCCATGATTAAACGTCGTATACTTGAAAGAAATATTGCAAAGGAAAAGCAATTTCGTGCCGAAATTCTGGCCCAAATCAAAGAAGCAGAAGAATTTGATCCACGAGCCTATGTACAGAATATATTGTATACAATCGATAATGTTCCACAGGCAGAAACACCACAACAAAAATATGAACGTTATCTAGATTTGATTCGAAAAAATCGACAACAAACCAATTTGGTTATGCCTAAATTTGAAAAAATTGATTAATTTATAATTTGTTTTCTTTTCTATTTTTTGTAATTGAATAAAAAAATAATTATAGTTATCCTATCGTCTGTGTACAGATGTTTATTTATGAAAAAATGTTTAAAAGCGTGCAAAAAATGTTTTTACGAAATTTGAAAATTCATCAAACCGCGATCAAAACAATTGAATTGATTCAAAAGTGTTCATTTGAATCATCTGCTTCAACCATATTTGCATTGTCTACAAATATTAAAAGTTCTGGTAGTGCTATAGCTGTCATAAGAGTATCCGGTGATAAAACTTTAAACGTAATCAATTCAATTACGAAAGGTAAAGCTGATTATATTCGTTCGAAACCTCGTCATGCTTGTCTTAATGATTATGTGGATCCAAAAACCAATGAACTCATTGATAAAGGAATGACATTATGGTTTCCAAGACCAAAAAGTTATACTGGTGAAGATCTTTGTGAATTTCATGTTCATGGATCATTGGCAGTAATAAATAAAATGCTTTCAGTTTTGAATGATATTCATGGTTGTCGTTTAGCTAAAGAAGGTGAATTTACTCGTCGCGCTTTAATGAATGGAAAACTTCATCTAATACAAGCAGAAGGAATTCGTGATCTGATTAATGCTCGAACGGAAAATCAACGACGACGTGCACTTGGTGGCTTATCTGGAATGTTGGATCATAAATTCAACCGTTGGCGAGAGCAAATAATCAAATCGATGGCTCATTTGGAAGCTTTTATTGATTTCGGTGAAGATGAGTTGATCGATGATTCTGTTGTTAAAGAGTTAAGTGAGAATATTCGTAATTTAAAAAAAGAAATCGATCAACATATTGCAAATACAAAATTAAAAAGTGATTTAATCAAAGATGGATTTCGTGTAGCCATTATTGGTCAGGCAAATGTTGGCAAAAGTAGTCTCATCAATAAACTAAGTTTGTGATCATTACTCATGATTTGTTTGTATTATCGTTAATGTTGTTTTGTTTCCATTGTGTTGTTAGGCGAAAAAGATGTATCAATAATTTCACCGATAAGTGGAACCACAAGAGATGTAGTGGAAACTTGGATGGATATTGATGGAAATTGTGTTTGTATAGCTGATACGGCCGGTATAAAAGATTCGAACCATCCTCATATCGATCCAATTGAACAGCAAGGAATTCAAAAAGCCATTCAAAGAGCAAAAGAATGCCATCTAATAATTTTAGTCATAGATGCCAGTGATGTTTATCATCATAAAAAATTAATAATTAGTAATCATTTGAAGAAAATTATTGACGAAAAACATAAATCCGAATTATTATATCTTATCAACAAAATTGACTTGTTGACCGGTAAAAATGAACGACAAGAACTTGAATCAATTTTAATTGCAAATAAAATTCAGAAACCAATCTATGTTAGCTGTATGAACAATGAAGGATTCGATAATTTTGTTCAGAATTTTAAACAACAAATTGAACAAAGTGTTGGCAACAATGAAGAAGATAGAATTTCATTCAGTAATGAACGACATGTTATGCATCTTGCTGAAACGTCAAAAGAATTTACAATTACAATGGAAAATTTTGATAAAGATTTAGCCATTTCATCATTTCATATGCGTCAAGCATCTTATCATCTTGGATGTTTGACCGGTAATATTACTACCGAACATGTTCTCGATGTATTATTTAAAGATTTTTGTATTGGAAAATAATTTCTCTTAAAAAAATAATGATGATAATAAATACAATAATGATTATTTACATAAGACATTGGTTTAAAAGCAGAAAAAGATTTGAGTTCACATATAAATTGAACCATCATTTGGTTTAAGATATCCAGTAGCAATAAGAATAACATCGATCAATGTCCATATACCAAGTCCACCAAAACTAAATAATTTACCGATACCTTCTTGCCAATTACCGAGATAAAAACGATCAACACCAAAACCACCAAGTGTAATGCTCAACATTAAAGCTGTTGACCATTTATATCCTGATTGATATTCACATCGTGTAAATTTATAAAATTTTCGATGACCCAAACAAAAAACATCATCACGAACTGTACACATTGTCTTTATACGTGTATTTAATTGACAAGGATATTGTGGCCGACAATAATAAAGATCCGGTGGTAATTGATAACAAAATGAACAATAATATGTTTTCCAGTATGTTTTTTCGGGATCCTTTATTGATGAAAACAGAATATTTAAAAAAAATATGAAACTAACCAAAACAAAAAAAACCCATTACCTGACAATTTGAATTTTCAATATTTGACACAACACAGCTAGTATTCATGATTGTTCCATAAACACAAGAATAATTAAAATTACAATTAAAACATTCGGGTTTTAGATTCGAACAATGTTGTGATGAACATTTCATCATTTCTTTATCATCAACAACATTCAAATTCGATAATAAATTATCATCAATATTATCATTGGTTCGTACACGAATCAAAGCAATTAAAAGACAAAAAACTAAATTGATTAATAATTTATAAATGAATTTCATTTTTAATCTTTAAACGAGAAATGGAATCCAAAACATTTGCAAAGAATTATTGGATAAACATTATCAACAAAAACAAAAATGGAAAATTTATTTAAGCCAAAAATAAATTCTCAATAAACATCGACATAATTCATAGACAATGTAATGTTTGTTTATTTCGAATCAAAAATCATATTCATTTCCGTCAATTCTTAAATTTTTTTATTTATTTTTTTTGAAAAAAAGTATTAAAATGATTAAATCTTTGGTATATTGATGATGAACTATGAGAATATGGATGGATAATAATAAATTTGTGACTGTGTTTGTGTTTGTGTGTTTTACAAATTCAAATATCATGATCAATTTCGGTTATTGTTGTTCTAGTTTGATTTTTTGACCATTCTTTTTGTTTGGATTTTTCTTTCCTTTATTATTATTATCATGGTTATTGTTAATGTTATTATTATTATTATTATTATTTTGATTTGAACAAGGTTTGACAATATTTTTTATCGGTTCACAATCATCACTGTTTGGTGTTTCCGGATTCATAACCAATGTAAGTGTTCGATTTTTTAAACCATTTTCACATAATGTCCATTCTGTTTTATTATAGGCACATTCTATTTCGGGAAAAACAAACCCGAATCAAAATCAAATCAAATATTCATTGAACAAGAAAAAAAATCAAATCTATGACATACGTTTTCGACAGGATTTATTAACAATTTTTTCCGATTTACAAAACGATGACGATACATCCGTTCGTAGTTTATCGATACGTTCTTTCCTACCATTCAAACAATCTGACCATGCACCTTTAACATATTTACATTCTAAATTGTAAATTGTTGGGAAATGAAATGAAATAGAAAATGAAAATCTATGTTAATGATGTGATGATCTTTTGAACTTTAATCTGAAAAATTTTCATGAACAACAACAATGACATCAATCATGAAATTCCCTGAAAATGAAATGAAACGTACGTTTTTTACATGGTCGTTCCATTTGTTTTTCCTTTGTACAATCGACCAGATGAGGTTTAAATGTTTTCAATCGTAAAATTCGTTTTTGCATTCCTTATTTTGGATGAAAAAAAAAATTATTAAGGATTTTTGATCAAAATAATTACCTGTATCCGGATCACAGTCTAACCAGCGGCCTTTTTCATATTTACATTCTTATGTAACGAAAAAAAATTGGAAAAATTTTAAAATTTCAATCAACAAATCTGTTATGAACCATACCTTTATGTGCGGTAACAATCTGTATCGAAAGTAACAGAATCGCAATCAAATACAGACCGACAATCCAAAATGTTTTCATTATCATTTTTTTTTTTTTGATTCAAGCAATCACACCAACTAGAGAACAACTAGAGATGTTTTATCGACGACAGTTAAACTAAAAATGACAGCCAATGATTGTCATCACCATCATCATCATCACCATCATCATTATCATCGCAAAATGGCCCCTACATTTTCTTCATAAACTAACCAGAAAATAACATCGATCCTATATGCATAACAATGTGTTTGCTTGAATGTATAGACTGAAATCTGGGACGAAACTTGAATGAAAAAGAGAAAATACGAATGAAAGAAAGAAAAAATCTTCAAACAATCAACGCTTTTTGTGTGTGTGTATTTCAAAGAAATAAACAATCATTACACGACTGTTAAATGGAAAAATCATTGACAAAGATATTTTTAACCGAAAAGAGAAAGAAAGAAAGAAAGAAAGAAAACTGGGATTGGTCTTTGTCTTGTATTTCCGAAACATTGATGTTTAATTCTTTGTTTGTTTGTTTGTTCAAGCATGTTATGATTAAAGAAATAACGATATTTTTCCAAACATCAAATGTTAACGAATTCGGCCATTACCATTTTGGTTATCATGTGTGTGAATGAATTGAATGAATCATTTGATTTGAATCAATTAAGAATAGATTTTGGCTAAGTTAAGTTTTAAGCTTCATTTTAAATTAGATTTAAATGAAAATTGGCTGCTGACATCTGGCCAATTTGCATGTTTTTATTATCAACATTTTTTCCAAACAAACATCGATCATGATAAATTGGCAATTTCCTCAATTGCTTCCCCAAAGAAAAAACTATAACAACAGCGAGAGAGAGAGAGAAACCAGATTTGTCGTTTTATTTTCGCACTTCTTAAATGATTTAAATTTTCATCCAGAAAATTGTCATTGAACTTTTGATGATGATGATTAAGTCCAAATAAATTATAACAAAAAAAAAATCATGATCAATATTTTGTTTTTCAAATAATAATATTTAATCATGAAAAAAAAGAAACACGGAAGAACACGAATTGAATGTTTTCATTTTGACAATTATTATTGCTATGTATGTTTTCTTTTTTGGTTTTTAATTAACAAACGAAAAAAAAAATTTCAATCAAATGGCTATCGGGTTTTTTTCAGTATTCTTCAAGTGTGTGTGTGTTTAAAAACGAATATTCTGTGTGTGTGAAACATATGGTATATGTACAATGGAATCATTGAATGAAACAAGAATTTGCACTATTTTCTTTAAAATTAATTTTTGTTTGGTTTTTCTATAAAAATCAAAGGCTAAAATATTAAAGAATTGATAAAAATGAAAATAATAAAAAAAGAAAAGAATTTTTCAACACACAAACAAACACCTACATTCTATATGCACAACCAACAAGAATAAATGGAAAAAAAAAGATTTCAAATCAAAACACGATTTGCTCTAAAAGATTTTGTTTCTATAAAAAAAATAAATAAATATATCCTGTAAAAATACACACAGTTATTGAATGTCCTGTATATGAAGATTATTAGGAAGATTCTAATTGAAAATAAAAAATACATTTTTTTCGTTTCTAAATTCTTCAAGTTTCAACTGTAGGCATTTTTATTGTTGATTTTTTTGTTGCTGATTGTTGTGAAGAAATTTTTGATTCATGATTGTCATCATTATCATTTTTATTGTTATAAATTTCTGTCGTTTGATGATTATTATTACTGTTATTAACATTATCAGCAGTATATGGTACAAATATTCGTATTTTGGATGGTGATTGTTTTTTCGTTGATGAAATTGTTGATGATGGTGGTATATTATTTAAACGTGGACTATGATTGCCATTTTTTGTTGTTGATTGATTTGATTCCAATATTAATGAATTATCATTATTTATCAACTGATAATCACCAATTGGTATAGTAATTTTGGTCATTTTTGTTTCAATCGTTGTTATTGTATCATTATTGCTATTATTATTATTATTTTGTGAATGTTGTTGTTGATGATGGTGGTGATGATGATGGTGATGATGATGATGAGGATGATGAATTTGGGAATTCATTATGGGTGATGGTGTTGATTGACTACGAAAATACTGTGATGTGGTGGTCGTCACCGAATGGCTACGTTTATTATTGCCATCAACATTATCATCGATAATTACTTTGGTTTTCGTCACATGTTCATTCGACGACGATTCATTCGTAACAAAATTTTCCAATATCTTGATAGCCTCTTCCGTACTTGATGGTATTGTATGAATATTCATATCACAATTTGTTTTTGATGATGATGGTGATGATGATGATTTTAGACTACTTTGGCGGGCAGTTGAAGTTAATATACGTTTATATGTTGAAGAATTACTCTTGAATGTAGGTATGGTTCCATTATTATCAATCTGTGAATCATTGACAATTATTTTTTTAATATTTTCACGATTTTTTTGATTAATCGTTGAAATTAAAGAATTTGCACTATTTAGTTTTTCATCTAGATCGGCACTCAAATGATTGATTTCTTCTTCAATTTCACCAATTGATTTTTCCCTTAATGATGATGATGGTGATGATTGTCCATGATTATAATGTAAATCATGTAATGAACGATCTGAACCAGGTCGATTCGATTCGGGTGATAAATTCGATTTGTTCGATTGTTGTTGTTGTTGTAATGATTGCTGTGTTGTTGATGAATGATCCGACATACGACTTGAACGTTTAGCTGCCGCTTCAATACTTTCATTGATTGATACATTATCGTATAGAGAAATCGATCCAACATCTTCACGACTGCCACTGGTACGGCTGGTACAAACTGATGAAGCATCATTACCTTTCAATCGTACACTACCGGCAATACTTTGATCATCAAAACCCATTCGTTCAGTGGCAATTATACCGAATGGTCTTGATGGAAATTCATTATCCGATGGTCGTTCAGGTGAAAGCATTTTATATTTCCTATATCAAATGAATAAACGGAAATTAGAAATCAGTAACAATCAAATTATATGATATTTTGTTACTTTAATTCTTGTATCGATTGCTGTAATGCCTGTATTGCCGAATCATCATGATAACCGAAATCTTTTTCCAATTCAATCTGTAGAAATTCGATCGTTTCTTCCATCGATTTACGCAATATAGATCCTATTAACATATTAGTTTTGATGATTATCATAAAAAATGATAAAAAAAAATCAAACATTGTGACATACTTTTATGTAATTTGAGCAATGTATAGCTCATACCCGTCAAAATGGTTTCACCGTCAAGTAAAAATGCATCCCATAACCTTAGTGGATTAAAAAAGTGAAAAATTATGTTTTCAATCAAATCTTTTTGATTTAAAAAAAAATTTACAAACCTTAATGTCAATGAAAATGGTACACGATCAAGAAAACATTGAAAAAACCATTTTAAAGTATATAAAGTGGAATCAATGTCATATTTCTATTCGAATCAATCGAAAAAAAAGATTAATTAAGAAGATACAAAACAACAACATCAAATCAAACCTTAAAATGTTTCCAAACTTTTGGTAATAATTTATGAATAATTTTATCATGATGTTTAGCAAAACGTATTAATTTTGGAAAGCCCGGTATAAAAAATCCATGCATAGCATGTCTTTCATCCGACATCAAAGATGATAATGACCAGAATGCATCCTAATTCAATTTGAATTTGAATTAGATAAATGATGGAACAAACAAACAAACAAACGAAAAAAATTCCTACCTCCTCATCCATGTACATCAATAGTAAGGCGGCAATTTGTGACATGCCTTGGCAATAGCCAATTTCGGAATTATAAACACTATAAGCAACCAATACTTTAAATAACATCTGTTGTCTAACATTATAACGTTCACGAAATATAAGATGTTTACGATACGTTCGATTAACATCAAGATCAATTTGACGAATATCTTTTGAGTATTGATAACCACAATCCAACATTTCGGCATATTTTCCTGATTGTTCTTGTTTTAATTGTTGTATGTTTAATAAACGTCCCCATACTTCACCACGTAATGCATTTGGAATTCCTTTATAAATACGTGATCTAAGTTTTTCTGAATCAGGATAATACTGGTCCCATTGTTTGAGCATCTTAAGCCATTTTGTTAATCGGCTATTCTCTTGTAGTTTTAGCTTTTTTTTAGAAAAAAAAAATCAGAATAATTAATTTTGTCTAAATTATTCGCCCGAAATTAATGACTTACTTTGGTTTCATATTCGGGTAATCGATCTGGAAGTCGGTTGGAGCTAATAATAAAACAAACAAATTAAGAATTGGGTGTAGGTTGAGCAACAAAAGAAAAACAACATACTGTATAAAACCATAACGATCAGTTGCATGATAGATATCAAAATCTGGATCTTCCCATGCATTTATCTCAGCTTTATCAAGTTTATCACGACCTTTACGATATTTTTCAATTATAATTTCACGTTCATCTTTTTCATCCATCATTTTAACTGTTTTTTTCCACGTTTGTTACACCACAAACCAAACAAACCAAAAAAATGAACACCAAAACAAAAAAAAAGAAAACAATGACAATGTTTTGTGAGGGAGAGAGAGAGAGAGAGTTGAAGAGAAACAAAAAGGGATGATTCAATGTGGGTGTTTAATTTTTTTTTGTTATTATTTCGATGTTTGAAAACAAGAAAAAAAATCCACTAAAAACACATGATTAGATTAAATAAAATCTTAGTAGCAAAATTTGACAAAGAAAATTGACTTTTTCGTTTGGTTAAATTCTTTTTGGAATGTAAGAACTCGAAGACGATATATCGAACGAAAAAAAAATCGAACATTTTGTTTTGGTTGTTATTGACAATCAGTTGTTGTTGTCGATTTATTTATTCCGAAATAAAAAACTCATTTTACAATTTGACAGTTGGCCGAATCCAATGAAATTTTTGTTGTTTTTGTAAATGTCCAATGTTTATTTGATGATTATTACACAAACACACCTACTAAAAAATGTTGAGGATTCATATATGATAATGTGAAACTAATAGGAAAAAAAATCGATGTAAATCACACACAAACAAACACAAATTATACAACCAAAAAAATGAATGAAATGAAATGATTGCAATCAATGTAATGATGATGATGATGATAATAGTATCAAACAACAAACAAACAAACAAACAACAAGAAAATTGGATATGTAAAAGAATCAGTGAAATAGAGTGGATGGATATATCGCGATAGAAAGAGAGCGGGAGAGACAGAGCATTAGACTTGCAACAAAATATCAGTAGTTAGTTAGTTTGACGAATCATTATTTGAAAATATAGTTTTTTAATTATAAAAAATCATTATCAAATGAACGAAATTGAAAAAAAATGAATCCATTAATCGGTTTTTTTTTTGTTATGTGGCTGGATAACAAACAACAAACAACAAACACATCACAAATATCCATTAGCTGTTTCTTCTTCTGTGTTTTGTGTGATCGGTCCATTTCACAGTGTATTTTTTTTTTTTGTTGTTCCCGTAAAGTTTCCCAGAAAATGAATGTTCGATGAGGATCTTTTTTTGTTGTTTTTTGATTTTTGATTCTTCGTTATCCATCGGATTGTAAACAAACCAATGTTATTTTTAAACTGCTGCCATTATTATTTCCGTATTTTGTTGAATCAAATTTATTGATTTTTTAAAAATCATTTGATGATCAGAGTGAACGAAGATAAACAAAAAAACATGACATCATCATAAGAAATATAGCCTGTCATTATTATCCATGATCATCATTCCAGAAGAGCCAAACAGAGTCTTATCATTTGTTTATGTTTGAAATTTTTTTTTAAATATATTTTGTTATTGATTTGTTTTATTGCTCATTTCAATCAATTTGTTTGATGTGTAAAATTTAAATTTAGAAACTTGAAAAAACTGAAATAATGGAACCAAAGAAAAAAGAAAATGTCATTCTAACAGGTGAGTTTGATTTTAATGAAAACAAAAAGATTTATTTTTTTAAGAAAATGATTTTTCAATGTATAGGATTCGGCCTATTTCGTGCGTATAAAATAAATCCATCATGGGAAGCTGTACAATTAATTGATGAATGTCAATTTGGTTCGAATATTGAAATAATTAAAATACAAATTCCGGTTGCTTATAATGAAGTTGAACGAATAGTTGAAGAAATTTGGACAAAATATCAACCAAAATTAGTTATACATTGTGGTGTATCTTGTGTAGCACGTTGTCTACATTTGGAAAAACGTGCAGTTACCAATAAAGAACGTTATTGTCAACCGGATATTTTTTCATGTTTACCAAAACGTTGTTCAAATAATGATCCATTAAAACCTGATTATATTTATACTGATTTGAATTTGGAAACAATTCGTGATGAAATCAATCAACATTATTATGATGGAAATATTGAAATTCCAGCTAAAATATCTGATTGTGCGGGTGAATTTCTTTGTGAATATATTTATCATTGTTCATTACAATATGATTGTCGACGAACATTATTTATTCATGTACCGGATATTAATCAAGAATTATCTATCAAAGATTTGTCGAAATGTATTGAATTAGTTATTCATTCGGCATTAAAACAATTACCACCGTTTATTCATCAACAAACAAAAACAACCAATTAATAATTCAATTACAAATGAAATTGATGAATGAATTTTAATTTACTTTTTTTTTAAATTTATAAATAAAAATAATGAAAATATATAATAGAAAAATATATATATCGAATTTTGAACATAAGTTTGTTGTTTTGATATATTATGATAATTAATCAAAGATTTGTTTTGTTTTTGTTTGTTTGTTTTCCAGTCAATTTACCGGGAAAGGAAAAAAATAGAAAATTTTTGTTTTCAAATACTTTTTGGTTTCGATAATGGGGGGGAATGTCGAATGTTTTGTAATTCATTTTTTAAGCAGGAAAAAAAATATTGATAACTTAATGGTCATATCAGTCATATCTTATATATTGATAAATAATGAACGATTCATATCGAATTAATTGATTGTAATATATTTTCTTTGATTGGTTGATAATAATCTCGTTGAAATATCATCATTTCTGGCAGTTTACGTAATCCGATAAACATTTCCGTATCGGTTTCAAGTATGACAATTAATAAACCAGCAATCAATATGAATATGATCAATGCACTTAATAATGATGTAAATAACATGATGCATAATTTTTTTCCACATGATACTTTTGTCTTACGTTTCATTGATAATTTTTCCATATTTTTGTTACTATTATTATTATCAGTAATGATATTATTTTGATTGTTTGATCCATCATTTTTATTCGAATGTTTAACATTTTTACTATGTGGTTGTTGATATGTTGATGGTGTTTGATCAACAATTTCGCTTACTTGTTCTAATGTTTCATCCGAATCATTTGTTGTTTCTTCTTCTGAACTTTTTTGTTGTTGTTGTTGTTGTATGGATGATAATTGTGATGGTGATGATCGAACTATTGGTGTTTCAAATGAGATCGTATTCGGTTCATCACCTGTTGGTGTTAAATCTGGTCGCATATCAAATTCTGTTGGTAAACATGGATTTGTTGTTGTTGTTGTTGATGATGATGATACAATACGTGTTGGATGATGATTTTCATAATCTTCATTTAATGGTTCAACAATCATTGAACAATTTGGTTGAAATGTTCCAACATCTTTATGGCCATAAGTTTCTGGTTCAGAAACGACCGAATAATTTAGGTAAGGATCTATTTTGAACAAAAAATGTCAAATAAATAAATTAGCTAATAAATTTTGATATTCTTCTAAAAGCAATTACTTTTATCATCATAAAAACTTGATTGAAATTTATTAGGTGATCCATCATCCGGTAATGGTGCCGTATTTGAACGACCAAATGAACGCATAGATGATGGTAATGTATTCATTGAATGACGACGATTTATTGTTGTTGAACCATTTGGATCAGGAATTTTTTTCATATCTTCAATAATTTCACGTTCAACACGACCACTATTTTTTAAAAAATAAATTTAAAAATGTTTTCCGGAAAACAAACGTCAAAATAGTTACCTATAACGAAGTTTACATTGTTTAGAAAATAGGCCACCACCAGTCGTTATAGTTGGTATATCATTCGATGAATTCATTGTAAAAAAATATCGTTGTTCAACGGCTGAACGCCATAAATTTTGACAGGCAAAAACGTTTGGACATTTAAATCCAACAAGATTCTTTTTCTGTAAAAAAAGACAATGAAAATTCAATAATAAAGGAAATCGAAAAAATTCTTACACCGCCCGTATAATGATGAAGAATAAACATTTTACTTTCATAGGTAATTTTCTGTAATTCATTCCTGTCGAAATGTAAATCATTATTATTAAGATTGGAATCAGAAATTATTATAATAAATTACCATTTAAAATGATAAACTTTTTTGTTGCCTTGAAAGCCTAATATACCCGAATGATTAATACCGATTAAATATTGAATTTTTTTATGATCTTTAACCGGATATGGATCAATACCATATGTTTCTAATTTTGATGAACGTTCAAGAAATTTTAATTCAGCTTCAGCCGGTGTTAATGATTTCATTTCATTCATATGTAATTCAATTGTTTCTAATTCTAATTTTTCATTTTGATTTGGTATTATTTTCAATGATGATACATAATTATCTTTATGTTCGGATTCATTATAATCGCCTAGTTCGGCTGAAAAACGAAACAAAAAGTGTAAGATGAGAATTTCGAGAGAAAAAATGATAATATAATGAATATACATACATTGTACAACACAAGCCATTAAATATATAGCATCAGCTGGAAGACAATAAAGACGACGATTTAATAGATCACGTCGTAATTGTAGATAAAGATAATAACGTGTTAGTTCATCTTTCAATAATGTTGGATTAGCTGGATAGAATTTGACACGAAAACAGAATATAATTGGATTTAGATTTTTTACTTGTTTGATGATTGATCGTGTTGGATCGAGCCATATCTGAAAATCAACAACGAAAAAAAAACAACGAAAAAACAAGAAACAAAATTAGTGAAAAAACTTTTTTTTTTGGTAATTTAAATATGTAAATTTGAATAGATACCCTTAAATTATTACTGTCGACAAAACGTAAACCAAAATAATCTTTTTCCAATAAATTTAATGTTTTAAATACAAAATCCAATAGATATTGTCCTTTATGTTCACGTTGAAAATTTGTTTGTAATACTTCTTCATCATCTAATAATCTTATGGCACATTGATATTCAGATTGATTTGTTAGATCTTTTTTCGAACCAAATCTTGATAATAATGTTTTGGCCATTATTTGATTGATTGATTTCTTTTCGAATTCCGTATTTGATAATAATGAAAAATATTTTCTGTAGTCGTCGAAGTTGTCTTTATTTACACACACAAACAAACACACAATGAATGACAATTTAAAAAGAGAAAATTGACAAAAAGGAAAAAAACCGCACCACCAAAAATGATGACGATGACCAAAATACTGATGCAATACTGTTTTTTTGGGTAAATTGAATAATAATCATATAACAATGAAATAGAGAGAGAAACAACAGAAGAAAATAAACGGGGAAAAACCTTGAAAAATTCAATGATAATGTTGTTGATGTTGTTGTTTAGCAGAAACTTTTTTCAAAGAGCGTTAAAAGAAGATTTGTTTCCAAAGAAATTGATACTGATCAACCGGTTGGATTTATTATCATCTGACATTTAATTTGATGAATCATATTGTCAAAAAAAAAAGTTATCATGGTTACACACATAAACAAACATCCGTTGATATGTAAGATTTAAAATGAAGCAAACAAGACAAAGTTGAGGGAAAAAATTAAATTACAGAAAAATTTCACTGATGTTTTTGAAAATGATTTTAAAATTAAAAAAAACCTATTGATATTATGCAATTGAATTTCGTAATAAATTTTTGATGAAAATTGAGCCCAATTAATATTATTTAGTCACCAGAATTGAAACATCAATTTGCTTTGCGCCATCTTTCTTTCGATACAACAAAAAAAAATAATGCTCATCTAAAATATAGCAGCATAATGGATACTGGAACTATTCTCTCTCTCTCTTTTTTGACGACCAACATGGCTATTTTTTTTTTTGTTAGGAATTTTCTGGTTTCTTTTCTTTTTTTTTAAATCCCTTAATGGTAGTAGTATTGGTAGGTGAAAAATGGTAGTAGTAAACAAAAAATTTACACACCTTTTCCATTGAATAAATTAGTTAAAAAGAGTGGTAGTAGTAAATGAATGAATGAATCCAAAAAAAAATCCAAAAATCCTGATCCAAATTATTTGATTAGATTTAATGAAATGAAGATGGCGTTAGTGGGTCTAAATTTAAAATTGTTCGATTTTCAAATACCATTTTTGCCTTTTTTTTGAATGAAAATTTTGTTTAACAATGGAAATTGGTTGAAACAGAAAAAACGAACAAAAATTTAAATTTCACAAGAAAAAAAACCTCATAAGCGAGAGAGATCTGGGTCTGATCTGAATCTGGAGACAAGAGAGAGAACACGGAGCTAGCCAAAAAGCTGTATTCCGATTCGATTCCAATTTTCCAAATGGAATCTTTACAATCGACAATGATGTGTTTATGTAGAACAACAACGATTTGAAATCAATCGAAGATGGTGAACTGTGGCATGGTGATGTTCAAGAACAAAAAATATAATCGAATAAGAATGAAGCCGAATTTTCTTTTTTTTAGTTGAAAAACAAATCATTTCGATATAATCCAATTTTCAATGAAATTATTTCTTGATTTTGTTTTTCGTATTCAAATTTCTTTTAATCGGTTTCGTTTCATTTGTTCTGTTTTTTGTTTTTGTTGTTGCATTAATTTGTTTTACAACAGAAAAACATTTTAGCTTCGATCATTCGGATGATGATAATGATGTAATCTTTTTTTTTTCGGGAAAAAAGTTTTTCTTATTCTTTTTTTCTGTTTTTCGTTTTGATTTGTTATTCGAATCGTTGGATGATCCTCATGATGATAGTGATTAAAACAATGAATCTAATGATAATGATGATGATGATCATCAATGTTTTCAAATTAACTTTGATTGTTGTTTTTGCAGAGAGATTTCTTACGAAATTCGTTGTTTTTTCCGATTATTTTTGTTTACTCAATTTCAACGAAAGAATTATATTCGAATGTACAAAAAATTGTACGTCATTTTTGAAAAGGAATAATTCCGTAATTCTTTCGAATGTTCGAATGTTCGAATGATTTTCGCTTCTTTTGATGATTCGATTTTTTCACTTTTTGCAACTTTTTCTTTTTTCTTAATTTACAGAATTTTCTCTAATTTCATTTCATCTTTTTATTATAAGTTTTCTGTTTTTGACTTTATTATTTGATCGATTGGTTATTTCATATTTTCAATTTTGTTGTTTGTTATTGGTATTCTTTTCAAAATTTCTCGCATGGATGCTTTTTTTTCATCCAGACCAATTTTTTTTGGTGAAAAATAACCAAGACAACCACGAAAATTAAATGGTTAGACCAAATTTTTTTCTTTCTTTCATCTTTTTCACTTGCAAATTGCAACGTTAATCTTTTTCTTTTTTCTTTTCCAAAAGGTAACTTACCTTACTTACTTTTATAGTTTTTTGTTAGTAAAATCTAACCAAACAAAATTTTCTTGGTAATCGAAACGAAAAATATTTTCAAAAAAAAAACAAACAAACAAACAGCTATTTAATATTTCATATTCTTTATCAAAATTTTGATTTTTATTTATCTGACGTTTACAATCATGGTGCAAGATTCTTTTGATTTTGTTCACACAAATTTAATCGATTTTTCTTTTTTTCTTTTGCGTGTTTCAACAACAACAACGAAAAAAACTGAATTCACTGACAATCAATCTCATAATTGCCTTGATTCTTTCAAACATTTTTTTTTGTTGTTGTTGTTGTATCTATAGATCATCCTTATTCGTGATAAATTCTTGGGAAATTTTTTTCCCCTAGAACATTCATTTTCGATGAAAATTTTTTTCAAAAATTTTAATTTCATTCATCGCGAATAATCATCATCACTATTGTTTGTTTGTTGAAATGGATCAGGTATCAATGAAAAAAAAGAGTTTTCACAAGAAAAAATGATGATGATGATAATGATATTGTTTGACACAGGGATCTATTCTATTCTATTTTTTTGTGTTTTGTTTGATATTCTAATATTTGTCTTCTTTCGTTTTTTTTTTTTTTTTTTTTTTTTTTTTTTTTTTTTTTTTTTGTTCTCATATCACCAGGTTTTCATTCTTTTTTTTGTTCCTTCAGGATGGAGTTGAATTTCTACGAAATGAAAAAAGAAACCCAAAGATAAAAGATGATGAAANATTAAATGGTTAGACCAAATTTTTTTCTTTCTTTCATCTTTTTCACTTGCAAATTGCAACGTTAATCTTTTTCTTTTTTCTTTTCCAAAAGGTTTGAATGGAATGAATGAAAATATCAAAAAACAATCATTTTAGATTGGTTTGTTTTCTCATATCACCAGGTTTTCATTCTTTTTTTTGTTCCTTCAGGATGGAGTTGAATTTCTACGAAATGAAAAAAGAAACCCAAAGATAAAAGATGATGAAAAGAAAGCCAAACAAATAAAAAAAAACTGGAAAAATATTCATGACAACATTACCATCATCATCATCATCAATATTTGGATTTTCAACTCTTTCTCATTGTTGATTTTCATTCATGTCAAATTTGAATGAATTAATACGTCATCATTGATGATAATAATGAAAAAAAAATGAAAAATTCCCATTCATTCTGAAGAATTTCTAATGAAGAATAAGCAGAATCACGTAAGAATAACGAAAGAAAAAAAACTGATTGTTTTGCATTTTTCATTTTTTTCCTTGTTTTTGTTTCTATAGCCATAGCCATCCAGAATATTTTTATCATTTGTGAAAAAAAACAAGGAAGAAAAGGAAATAAATCCATAAACTCTTATCCCTTTTTATGCTTGTTTCTGCTGATCTTTCGAAGAATTTTGGTTCTGTTTTTTCTTTATCTTTGAATCATCATCATCATCATCAATTTAATGTTGCATTATTGTGGTTTGTTTTTTCTCTCTTCACTTTTCATTTCATTGACAATTTGGAGCTAAAGGAAAAGGAAAATGGAAATCAAAAAGTCTCCAAAGTATTGTTAAGATTTTTTTATATATCTTTTCGGAAAACTTTTATGAATTTTATTTTGCTTTCCATAAAGATATTGAATACGCAAACAAACAAAATGATTGAACGAATGGTCAGAAATCAAATTTAAAAATCGAAAAAAAAAATATAAACCAAAAATGGATTTTAAAATAACTAACTTGGTCGACTTTTCATTCGAATGGCTAAAACAATGCCAACAAGAAGAAGAAGAAGAAAAATGACGATAATAACAACCAAATACACGGAAGAAAACAGGAAGAAAATGAAATAAAAAAAATAGAATGAGAAAAAAAACTACTGAATATATATTGTTTGTGTGTTTGAAAAAAAAGAAGAAAATTCATGAACAGAATAATAAAATGATTCCGGATGGATTCAGATTCAGAGATTTTTTTATTTCGTCGTCGTTGTTGAAAAAAAAGGCCAATGAATGAACAAAACAAAAAAAAAACTAATATGATGGACCTTCTTCATTTCTTTTTTTTTTTCTTTTTTCATTTTATTTTATTTCACTCTTTATTCTGACCGTATGTGTAAATGTAATGTTTTCTTTTATGTTTCATTTAGGTTCTCTATTCTATATGAAAACATGGTTGGCTATAAAATCATCATGGCATCGACAATACAAATGAATCGTACAAGAAGAATTCAATGTTCAAAGCTTGATTTACTCTTCAAAGAGGGGGTGTTTGGGTTATTCTTTACGAATAAAATCTTTTGTTGTTGTTGTTGTTGTTGTTGTTGTCATCGTTTCTTATCGTACAGATCGTAACAACAACAACAACAACAAAGAAAAAGATCGAGATTTTTTTCCCCTCTTCTCGCTAATCACATAGAAGAATAGAATAGAGAATGGGATAGGGTTTCCTTTTTGAAAAGAAAAACAGAATCCGAATAAAAACAAAAATTACTGCCGAAATCAAATTCTGTGTGTGTGTGTGTGTGTGTGTCTAGAAATAATATCTTTCAAGATTTGTAAAACAAAAAAAAAATTCTGTTTTTGTTTTTCTTGATTCCTTGTCATTCCTTATTCAAATGGTCGGTCAATGGTGGTGGTGATTGCATGACAAGCAAACAAATTGTGATCAAATTCGTTAAATGAAATATACAACCTAAACAGAAGAAAGAAAGAGAAGAGAAGAAAAAAAATTGATTCTAAACGCGTACGCAATGAATTTGTGACCCCCTTATCATCATTATCATCATCATCACGAAGAAACAAGAATAAGCTTCAACAATAACAACAACAACAAATGATGAAAACAACAAAATCGAGACTGGCATTTTAATTTGTCATAATTTTTTTTCCATTCTTTGCTTTTACTTTATCTATACTGGTTACCAGAAACATAACAAAAATATAGTGTGTTTTTCACATAAATTTTGATATATTTATGATGTGTGATGACAAAAAAAAGAAAAGAAAAGAATTGTCTTCTTTTTCTGAATTCTGTGGTTTGTGGTCTTTGGGATCATCATCGATTCATCGATAATAATCCCCAAA